TTTTCGGGAAAATTTCGCGGTTCCGTCGAAATCCGGAACCAGCAATTTTCCGGAAAATTTGCCAGTTTTGGAAATCCAAAATCGCCAAATTTCCGGAAAAATTCGGGGTATTGGCCGAAATTTCCGGAAAATTTGGGATTTTTAGCATAATTGTATTATGTATTGGGTCAATTCCGGCTACAATTGGCGGGTTTCCGACAGGGGCGCCCACTTTTTCGACCGCAGTTCCGTTTTATGTAATAATTATTATATTATTATATTATTATATTACTATATTACTATATTATTATATTATTATATTATTATATTATTATATTATTATATTATTATATTATTACATTATTACATTATTACATTATTACATTATTACATTATTACATTATTACATTATTATATTATTATATTATTATATTATTATATTATTATATTAATAAGAACATATTTAATTTCCAAATTATTATATTAAGATATTTTCATTAATATATATTACAATTTTTCATGAATATATATTATAATTATAATTAATTATAATTCATTCTAACTTAATATATTTCATTGTTTTTCATTATAATTCATTATATTTCTTTAAAATATATTTTTTTATTGAGGATAAGGCAGGGATAATGAACAGGATGCCTGCGCCCTCTCCGATTCATACGTTGGGCATTTCAACATGCCAGGAATCGGAGCCGGGTCTTCCTCTTCCTGCCACGACCAACGCAGGACTGGTCTGATGCACCATGGAAGGAATGAAAGGTACACTTTATCAACTGAAAACAACTGGGGTCAGAAATTTGATTCAGACTTAACAAGATGAACTTATAATAAAATTTCATCAACTGGGATTTAACATAACCATGAAAAGCTGAACAGCTGAAGCGTTGGGTATGAAATTGTTCAACGGCCTTCCCAGCATCACCCATCTGGGATACATCTAGCATACCCTCTGGTAAACTAACATAACTATGGAAAATCACCATATTTAATGGGAAAATCCACTATAAATGGTAATTTTCAATAGCTACGTTAAATTACCAGAGGGTAGCTCACCCATCTGGGTACCCGTGGAGTTCCTCCTGCAATGCATCGCTCTCTTTGCTGGACTTCCGGGTGGTCGCCGCTGAATGAGCCGGCGACTGCCGAGCCGATGTGATGGAGCTCAAACGACCTTTTTGGCGCTTCGGCGGTGTTGCGGAAACATTCCATGGGGATCAGTTGTGAACTTATGGAGATGGATTCAATCCCTGAATATCCCTGATCTCACTGATCTTCCAAATTTTCAATGATCTGCACTTGATATACTTGATATACTTGATGCCGGTGCTTCCAAGTGACTGGTTTCCAGTCGATGTGCATCCTTGGGATCTTTCATTAACTCCTGCCGGGAACTGGGAAGAGCCTTTCAGAACTTTTTGTTTCTTTCAGCCATCAGTGGATACATGGACTTCCAGTCGTGATCCCGATCTCTGACAGCATCTCGACTCGGTCCTCTGTGGGTTCCTCTTTGGGAACCTCTTCAAACACTACATGACCCTGAGCGCAGCAACGACTCGAGGCAACTGCTGAAGATCAGGGGAGGGTCCGTTTTGCCCCTGGGATCCTAGTAAAATCCACTGATTGTATCTTCTCTGAGATGTTTCTAAGGTTACCAACTACCACAACAGGGGAACGGCTGCCACCGAATTCCACGCCTGATGCGGAGGTGGCAGCAAAATGATGAGCTCATCTCTGCCTTGGCTCTCCCAATCCAAAGGGACGTCCTGGCAGCCAGGTCAGCAGTAGATTTGCCTGAAAGCTGATATGTAGGATGGTTGTACAGAAGAATTTCTGGGAAAAAAACAACAGGAAACAAATGGAACAAACTACACTCTAAACTCTAAACATCATCAAACATGGATTTTAGATGATGTTAGGAGAAAAAGCAGTTGCCAAACATCAGTGGTTCGCAGTTGTCCTTGTTGCTCGGGTTGAGCACGGGATGCATCTCTTTCGAGCGACGCCACCTGACAAGGGACAGGGCGTAAGGTTCCCCTTTCGGATCCTTTCGGCAATGATGACGTTTGATTTCACAGCCAAGGACTCTTCATGATTTCGTCTATATACATATAGCATCATATAACTTCTTGTGCTGCTACTTGTTATTTTCATTCAAACCCCAAACCAACCCTTTCTCAGCGGACACGTGCAAATACATTTTTCAGTTGTGGACGCTCTACATCAAGCTAAAGTAGCTGCCAGAACTGAGTATTTAGCAAGCTTCCAACATCCTAGCAACATCCACATCTTGCAAGCAAGTCTCCCTAGCAAGCTGCCGTTGCAAACTTCAGAAACCATGCGATACAAGTCCTTAGCTTCTCACCCCCTGTGCGACTCCAGATCTCTTCTTATGCAATTCATCCGCTTGTGACAACATGTGACAACCCATTGGCGCCCCGGTTTCATGCAGCTTGGCATCAAAGAAGGACAATGATTCATTACGACCTGAAGCTGAAGCTGGATCGACATGACTCAGACCAGGATATTTTCTGTTAAAACTGGATCCAGATGGATCCAGGAAAGTCATGAAGCTTCCCCATGACATCCGATGACCAAATTGACCAAATCCTTGGGACAGCTGTTTATGAAATTTACCCTCTGGTGAACTAACATAGCAATTGAAAATGGCCATTTATAGTGGATTTTCCCATTAAAAATGGTGATTTTCCATTGCTATGTTAGTTCACCAGAGGGTAAATGACATTTCCAATTGGAACAAACTGCAAATCATAGCCGAGATGCCCATCAGAACTTTTGACACCTCAGATCGAGCGCAACAAAATTTGGCTGATCGCCCTGTCTTTTCAAGATCAGCCTCAGCACATCAACAGAAATAGATGGAACATTGTGCACAACATTGTGCACAGTTCCATTGTGCACAACATCCATATTTTATCATCTTTTCAGGAGATCTGCCTGAAAAATCTGAAAATCTCAGGCAACCAGCAAGGCAACCGAGACGTTCCGAGGCACGGGTGTTGCAACGATGCTACCCGCGTTGGTCTTGGGGTCCGGATCAATCAACTTGATGAAGAGATCGTAGACATCTTTGCAGGCCACCGCCTGAGGCTACAAGAAGCCTGGCTTCTCTGGGAAAAATGAAGAGGGTGCATGTGACTAACAACAAATACATCCCAAAATTATAGTCTGATGAGTTTAAGGTCTAAGCTTAGTGATTTGTACAAACATGCCAAGTGTCCTTTCCTGCTTTAACTTGATCCTACAATTTCGAGCATCAAGAAGCACTTTAAGTTTTGGCTTTCCAAAATGCCAATAAGATGCCAATAAGATGCCAATAACCATCAATCATTGGAGGATCGTGCCCATATGTACCCATCACTACCATCTCCCAGGCAAGTGACGATGGCAAAAACGCCAGTCTCATGGGCAGAGGTGAAAACGAAAGATCCCACCTTCCTAGCGATGCGAACAGCGGAGCGACGGACACCAGTTGAGCCAACAGGATCTGGGATGGTTCCTTCAATTTGAGCAGAAACCCACTGACGATCACTGACGCCTTCCAGGGAAGCAATATTCACATGTCTTTTCCAGCAATTCCATGCAATTCCCATGAACAGAACAAGGATGAACAAGGTCTTGCAATGTCTTGCAGGTTGCTCAACACTTCCCGGTCCTGACGTTGCTGTTTCCTGCCAGCATCACTTGGCTCTTGGGGTCTTGGATCTCCTCAGGTGGTACATCGAGACTTGGGATATGGATGAAGATCTGCTTGAGATGTTGGCAGATGTTGCTACTAAATTGTACTAAAAAATGTATCAGGGCAGGTGTGTCGGCCTTGCTGGGCACCAATTTTTCTTCGCAAGCATCTGCATTGTGAAGTCCCAGTGAAGTCCGAGGGACTGTCACCAGCTTGCACTTCTTGAGATACTTGTTCTGGCGATTTTTCTTGATCACATCAGCCATTCCTTCCAGGACCTTGCGACTTGGCGACGACTTGATGAAGCGACTGAAGAGCTGCGTTGCGAGTCTTGTGCGAAAGCAGCAGTTTTGCCAAGATGCATGGAACAAGTTGATGGCGATGGTGAGATTCCTGGCAGTCAAGTCTCACAAACTTTCACCAAATCAAAGTAGCCAGCAGACCACACGCAGCTTATCGTGCTAATTCTCTGAGCTATCAACAGCTACCAGTACCCAATGGACCTGGATCTTCCTTCTGTCAGAGCTTTGTCTTGTGTTCAAGTCAACTTGTGTTATCTTCTGACAACTCATCAGTTGAAATACCAGATTTTTTTTTTTTACGTGGATTTCCAGTTGCCAGCTAACATTATCATTCAGGGTATCAAAGGGTATGTCAGGTATGTATCATCTGATGGATTAGCTATGTCGGGTAAATGACAGACAATCCATGTCAAAGATGATGTCACCTGAATGGATTGTCTGTTATTCATTATTCAAATGATTCTGTGTCATCATCTGATGGATTACCCATTGTAATTATTGGTTATCCTAACCATTTTGGATATGACATCTAGATCTATCAGCACATGTCACATGATCAGCAAATGACATACTACAAGTATCCAAATGACAATCGTGATTATCCCTCATTCTCATCACACTAACAATAATTATGTTAGAAGTCAGCCCTGGATTAGTTAGTTGGTTTAGTGATAATTTGCTGTTAAAATTGTACCCAATTAAGAAGCCCAAGGGCTTATCAATCCGAGATTGACCTTATCATTAGAGTGCTCAATCATTCTGGTAATTCATCATGTACCTTTTATTATTATCAACTATAATATAATCACACTTATCATATCCAATCATCATCATCATCATCATCACCATCACCAATATCAAATTCAATATCATAATGCCTCGCTCTCATAATCATAACTAATCATAACTGTAATTCTCATGGATCAATTCGCACAGCCCAAGCGCACCTGGAGTCGGAATCCACGGCATCCTCTTGCTCTCCTTCACGTTCGGAAAGGATCAAGGCGCAGTCTGCCTGAAAGGCGCAGTCGCGCGGTCTCCATTCGTTGAAAAAACACAAAAAAAAATGGGAAACTGGGAATTATTCGAAACACAGGAGATGAAAAATTTGGACGGCTGGGCGAAAAAAATCATGATAATCATGTAAGATACCTCCCCAATTTAAATCATTTAAATAGTGAATATATATATAATTATATAATTATATATATGTGAATATCATCAATCTCAAAAACTTACCCAACAAATTTAGCTCATGTCACTGGGACTCCCGGGAAAAACGCTTCCAGGCCGCCGAGGCCAACGGCAAGCGTTCCAACACGGTGGTGTCACGCCGTCGGCCCACGTAATGGGTGACGGAAATCCTGAAGGATGGGGATGGCTGGGGGTGGCTGGGGGTGGCCAAAATTTCGAATTTTCTTTCCATTCTGAAACAGTTAGCCACTTGGGAATGATAGGGATTCAGCAATGGGTTTCGCAATGGAAGCCATTGGGAATCAGTGGAATTTCTTGGAAAACAAGAATCATCTGGCGGAGTTTTGAAATCTACAAAAGGGATCAACAGGGATCAAAGGCACGTACCAACCCCTGTCAGAGGTGGTTCATGAGGCCAAGCTCAACATATTCACCACCTGCCCTCCCCCGGAGCCTCTCGAAGTCCAATTTGCCAACGCGAGAGAGATGCGTCTGCACGCAAGATTCGCGCCTCACAAAGCTATGTGAAGGTTCAATGGGTGACCTAAGAAGTGTACCAGAAGACTGAGGTGCCAACAGGTTTTGAATTTATAGATGATTTTAGGATATGCTTCTATCTCTGTGATGTGAAACATGTTAAAAACGTGTGATGGATTGTGATGGCGCAATCACTTCAAATCAACGCCTCCTCACACAGATGTATTTGTTTAAAACGACAGAAAACTGGAAGTTCGACCTGCCAGGAATTTTCTGGATGAGCCATTTTCTGAACCTTGCAGGCTACATGAACCAGGGTGAGCTAAAAAAACATTGGAATTCAACCCAGGTTGTTCAATGGTTGTTCCAACATAGCCCACCATAAAACAATGGCAGCTAAGATACCACTGCAAAGATCTGGTGGACAAAAGGTGCACTTCGCCTGGGAGAAAAAGCTTGTGGCATGGCTGGGGTAAAGTTGTCCCACTGACAGAAACTGACTCAACCTGCAATTCTAAGCCTAAGCTGTTCTAATTGGAGAATTGTGACCAAATGGGTTGGACACCATGGGAAAGTGTGGCCCTGTGGTTGCCTGGTCAGTTGCTTCTTTTGGACGAGTCTAGGGCCACAGAAGACACAGCCGTTTGGAGGATGGGATCCAAAACCCCTGATCTACGCTGGAACGTCCAATGTCGAGGTGAATCACATCTTGATGGGTGAAGAAGACATGTCAAATTGTCAAATTACAATTCTAGTAAGAAGACTGCATGCCATGTCCTATTCGGTGAGTGCAGAAAGTATCCTAAGGCAAGGTTCATGCTGTGATGGTCGTGGATGCCTGCGCTGAAGAACTGTTCACATTACAATATCTCAGGTTGTGTGATTTAACACCACTTATTTATTTTAACTTATTTTATATTTAGTTCGTTTCTCTAGAAGGCACACGTGCCTCACCTTTCTCAACAACTCAACTGCATCACAGCCACTGCCGCTAGCCGCATAGACGTCAATGATCTCTAGAAGATCCACGAAGTCGTCGGGACCTGCCGAGTGTGGTCATGGACATGCCCTTTCAATTAACGATTGACGTGATCAACGAAAAACACCACGAAAAATCATCGTGACGACACATCAATGTTTGAGGTTTCTGACACCGAAATACCATGAAATACCGAAATTTGGTTGTGGTCTGTTATGGTTCACAATTGGGTTCACGTTCGGTGCATATCCAAACGGTTGTCATCTGAAACCCCTGCAACTGAGGGGCAGCCAATCACCAACACGGTGAGTGGACCATCTGCTGCCTGGGCATTCGTGATCTGCATTTGTTTAAACTTATTCATGGGAAAAAAGGATAAAACAGGCATCTTTTTTTTGACATACTCGGAAATCCAATTTCATGGGACATCAATTTTGAATATTTTCACCATTTCTGACCAAAGAATCCAATCCACTCTCCACGAAAAATCAAGTTGCTGGACCCAAACGAATCTGTCCATCGTCCATCAACACGTTGCTTCCACGTCGTTTCGCCTCCGTGCAACGGTTGGCCCATCTCTTGTAAAGTAGGGGAAATCAGCAGCATCCTTATCTTCACATTCCACTCACATTGCTTCCTGTGAGAGAAATGTGCCCCCAATCATACCATTTTCAAGACATGTTATCCACAAATTCAATCAAAGTCAAATTCATACCTCAAGTATCTTTATATAAATTTCATCAGATCATCAGATCATCATCAGATCATGATCAGATCATGATCAAATCATGATCAGATCATGATCAAATCATCATCAAATCATCAGATCATCAGATCATCATCAGATCATCAGATCATCAGATCATCAGATCATCAGATCATCAGATCATCAGATCATCATCATCATCATCATCACCATCACCATCACCACCATCATCGTATCATCGTATCATCCTATCATCGTATCATCGTATCATCAGATCATCACATCATCACATCATCACATCATCAGATCATCAGATCATCAGATCATCAGATCATCAGATCATCAGATCATCAGATCATCAGATCATCAGATCATCAGATCATCAGATCATCAAATCATCAGATCATCAGATCATCAGATCATCAAATCATCAAATCATCAGATCATCAGATCATCAGATCATCAGATCATCAGATCATCAGATCATCATCATCAGATCATCATCATCAGATCATCATCATCAGATCATCATCATCATCCTCATCCTCATCATCATCCTCATCATCATCATCATCAATTTTCATCCTCAAAGATTGTGACCCTTCGCCTTCAGCGAGGACGTGGTCGTAAAGTCTGGTGATGTCTCGGGCAGAATGCAGTGACCTCCAGGGCAGAACTGTTGGCTACCCATCACGGCGCCATAACCTGGGGATATCATGGGGGTACACCCTCTGCTAAACTAACCTACCAGTACCCATCATGTTTCCCAGATTGTGTTTCCATGTGTTTTCCAAATCTTCCCAAATGAATCCTTAAATGATCCCAAGTTGGGGCCGGTGAACTGTGGTGCCTGCAGCGTGTTGGCTGCTGGAGAGCATCACCAACTCATCTCCTTCCTTAGTTTAGTCCATAGCTTTACCACCAACGGTCTCAGCAGCACCAGGAATTTGGTGCTGGACATGCTCAGAGCCATTGTTTTTTCACAGCCAGGACATCAACGTCAGGGATGCGCTTTCATGAATTTGGGCTGTTTCGGTCAAGTCTCTTCCAGGTGATGACTGGGTGCCTTCATCTTGTTCGCATCATCTCCCATAGAACTTGGAGTCTTGACCCCACAGACCGCCGCATCGGGGAAGAAGCGATAGATGTCCTGAACGACTTGAAGCTGCAGCTGTGTTGGGAAAGTTCTACGCATTATCACATGTAGATATCACATGTATAGTACACAAATACTTCTATATAGATTTTTATACATTGTCTATATATACATAGTATGTATATATATAATGTATCTAGTCCTCACCCAAACATCCAAACGAGACACAACAGGACCATCTACCGGCGCCCCGGCGCCTTTACGGGATAGCCATAGAGCGCAGGAGGTGCCTTGACCAAAAACAGCTGCGACACTTTGGATCCCGAGCCTCGGGGTCGGAGATGGAGTGGCCAGCGACTGTGTAAATCACTGCAGTATAGAATTATCATGAATATAAATGATATATATATATATAATGTAATGCCTGAATTTAATTGAATTTAGTATAATATACGTATATATACAGACACACACTCTTTTAATGTTTTTCTTGTTAGATGTACTATGTTTTAATATTTTTAATATGGTTCACTCACACAAATGGGGAGTAAGAACAAATTCGATCCAAAGAATCGGCCTGAGGAGGATTAAGGGGGAAAGTATCCGTGTTTCACACTTGTTCGACTTGTTGATACATGTTCTGTTTCTGGGCGATTCTACATAGTTGCAGTATGTTGCAGTCACAAGCTGACAAATCATCCAGCCTGTCCCAATAAAAAAACACACCGCACTATGACATGAGCTGAATATCTTTCAAAGAGTTAATGCAAGGGTCCAAGAGATGTCCTTCCAATTTCCCAAAATCCTCAAAAATCCTCAAATTTCGTGCTGTCATGTGCTGCCTCTGTTGACGTTTCAATGGCGGTTGCCGAGTTCACTGTTGCGTTCACCGAGCGACGTGTGTTTGAGGTCGACATCCGTAGCCAAGCAAAGCCCACAGATGGCACCAGGGCACGTAGTGCCACCATGTGATGCACCTGGGCAAGAACTTCCTGGGTATCTGGATTTGGCGGAAGATATTGCCATTAAATGGGCTAAACATAGCTAAACGATCTATCTATCTATCTATCTATCCATTCTATTCTATTCTATTATATTCTATCCTTTCTATCTATCCTATCTATTCTATTCTATTCTATTCTATCCTATCCTATCTATCTATCTCAGGGGCAGCCAGCACAAACTCATCCGAGGAACCGCGTGTCTTGCAACGATGCCCTGTGCTGCTGGCAAAATCTGCCGCACCACGCGAGCACTTTCTCGGCTGTGCATTTCCTGAAAAGCAACCAGCTGGGCGAGGTTTCCCACAAATGGATATACTCAAGCAGAGTATGGTATGTATAGTGAAGGTGCATGTGATCTGAGGGCAAAGGCGAGGAACATCTTCTACAGAATACTAGTACTGTGCACGCCGAAACTGAATCGCGTACTGTCATCACATCTGCCTGGGAATCCTGGCTAATTTTGATCGCTGAAAAGCCGTGGTCTGACCAGTAACCAGTATCCAAAAGCAATCCATAGCACCAAGCATCAACAGCGAAGTCTCACAATCATTTCGTTGTTTTTTTTACATATCCATCTGTCGGCATTGCAGGATTGAACCTGACATCAAAGAACTAAAGTCGGACAAACCCTGACAAAGCCAACAGGAGATTCTCCCAAAATCTTGCGGCTGAAGTTCCGCCCAAACATCAGCCTTTATGGCTTCCGGCAAAGCGCCAAGGGCCAGTAGAGTTCGAATTGCCTCCAATTCGCAGTGGAAACATCGTTGCAGCATCTGTTGCGGCAAACTGGCGGATTCAACATGATGAAACCATATTACCCTCTGGTAAACATACAAAAAACTATGGAAAATCACCATTTTCAATGGGTAAATCACCTATAACTGGCCATTTTCAATAGCTATTTTGACATAACCAGAGGGTACGTTCCCTTTTTTGCAGTTCTTTAATAAGGGCCATTTTGAGAGCCACGGTCCACTGACACCACGCTCCCACTAGCCTCATGATCCGAACTACTGTCGGTCTCAGCCGAACACATGCAGAGGATATGTTCCGCAGCACTGGCACAAACCTGGCGGTTGTTTCTCAGACCGGGAAGCGACTCAAAAGCCAATACTGGTGGTAAAAAGGTGGTCCTACATAACATCCCAACATATCCCAACATAACCCAACATATCCCAACATATCCCAACTGCTCCTAGTGAACTGTGGACTTCCTTGACCACCAAATCTTGATTGCAGCATCCAACACATGGAATCTGTAGATATCTGCAACCACTTCAAAGAACCCCTCTACCAGAGAGGCCTCAGCTCTGAATCCCACCTTCATCAGCTCAATGCGATGCGATTTGCAGCCTTCTCGATATGAGACGCAGTACAAGCGCTTGTAGGCACCTCATTATGTGGTTGGAGAATAGAACCTTCGACAAATAAAAACAAACCAAAAATATCTGGAAATAAGTGAACATTGAAACAAACGGGTGAAACCAACAAAATCGATCAACATCGTTTTGACACATCGTTCCGTTTTGGGGTTCAGCCGGTCCAGCTTGTCTCCCCCCAGCATCACCAGCCTTGTGGATCCTGGGTGCGAAAATGCAAACGCAGTTGTGCCTGCATCTCACGCACCGGGCGCTCCGCCAAAACCACCTCAGAAACTGTTGAATCCCCAGTGGCTTGAATTCATGTCATGTCAAATCACCACCAGCAAGGCTAACGTTTTTAAGGAAATTCATCTGTGTCTTGAGTTCATATTTCATCATATTTCTGTACTTCCATGTTCATCAAGGTGTCAATCTGTTTACATATGTATAGGTCTCAATTTGTGTGTGTGTGAACATGGTTCTCTAGCACCCGGAACATCCTGGGACATGTACAGTAACATGGCCAGAACTGAATGATTCAAATATTCAACTTGACGATTCATGACACCAACAACAGAACAGATCTCAGCACCGCACACCAAATTTCAAGACTGCTGAACCAAATTCAACTTTCCAGTAATTCAATCTACTGCTTGTTCTGGAAACAACAAGCAAAATCTGTCTTTGTTTTTGGGTGTGTCAAATCGCCCAATCCAGCGCTATCATTGATCATGAACTTTTGAAACTTCTGAATTTTGGTATGTCTTAAAATCGGAAACCTCAAAACCTATACACACCTATGCTAATATTATTTTCCCCAAACTTTCCCATGTTCGTCTCACCTTGAAGCCAAGCTTCGATCCGCCGCCGCCGACGGCAGCAAGAGCAGCATGAAGTGCTACCCTCCTCCGTCTGTAGGGCGGCCAACCTGAGGCGATATCCCACATATATTTATCTGGATCTATCTATATCATACATCTATATCATGATACAAATATTGCATGGATGTCATGACCATATCAAGTAGATGTCATGTTTACTATTTTTGCATCTAATCATATATATATACATGCTTATATAAATACATGATATGCATATGATACACATATTATCAGCGTCCACATCTGCGAACACGTCTTTGCTCCAAGCAGCAGCTCCTCGAGGAGGAAAATGGTCTTGTCCTCGAGCTACGGAGATTAGATGTTGATCTGTGTTGAATTTGGCCGGTTTAATACGGTCTCATGCATCATGAACAGTCACATCATTTCACTATCCATACAAAGCCGTCTTAGTGACTGAAGCCCTTGCAAGTCACCTTATTGGCATAAACATCCGTTCAACAACGTGTCAACTTTGAATCTCAAGAAATCGTCAACATGATAATTTTCATGCGGAACACAGTTTTCTAAGCCCATGAAGTTCCAAATTTCGAGACAACCCTCAAAAAATCCATGTATATAGATATTTGTTATGCAGATAATCATAACTTATAACATTACGATATATTATTCATACCTAATATATATAATTATATATATATAATTTCACCATCTTATATTATATATAGTCATATAGCAATCTATATAGATAAGTTTCCTATGTCCACAACACCAAGGAGTTCTCCGGACATCTCTGAGGCCCTGACACCCCAACCCAGGATCAACCAATGGCCATGGGCCTCGACCCTGCTATACCTCACCTGCCATGGGGCAGGAGGTTTTTGGAGGTTTTCAGATGTCCACCTGAAAATGTGCCTTTAAGAGCCATCAAAAAATCACAGATGTATGATCTGAGATTACAAACAGGACCCCTCTGCCACATTCGTGTACAAGAATATCAATATACTCTAGTCACATGGCTTTGTGAACGTAGGGCACCCTGCAACATTCCAAATGCTTGATCATCCTCTTCCCAATTAAATCCCATATGTTAAGGGATTTCCCAATCTTTTTCCCTATTTTCAATCCAAGATTTTCAAAGATTTTCCCTACCAAATGCAATATTTTAAAAGTTTTTCCAACTTGTTTTGGAACCCAGATCTCTCACGCCCATCATGTCCTCACCTTCCAGCGAAGTAGCAAGGAACGGATGAGCTCCACCACCTGATTTTCTTTCATTTTTCATCCCCTCAAAGATTCAAAGATCGACATTCCGTCCCAAAGAAAGATGGTTTAGATGGTTTAGATGGTTTAGATGGTTTAGATGGTTTAGATGGTTTAGATGGTTTAGATCGTACTGGTTTCATCTTGTTTCTGTTGTTTGGATGGCCTTGTCTGAAGGAAAATGGGGAAAACACACCAAATTCAATGAGTAATCAGAACATTCCCCAATAACACACTCAAATGGTTTTGGCAGGTGTTAAGCATTTTCCCATGTGGACAGGATGTAAAGTCGCAGACTTTATCTGTGCTGGAAGTATCACCTGACCATGCTGAGCTTGCTGCCATACCCAAGAAGAGCAAACAATACCTGCAGCGATGGAAACATGCCGAGCAAAAACAATCAACATCCGGGAAGGGTACTTGTCAGCTCATGTGTTCTTGAACTCTTGAGCTACGGAATACATGCTTTTGCGGACTTGTGGGTTAAAGTCGCGCTTTGAATAATTATTTCGTTTTCTTCGGCCATTTATTCATATTTATTTACGTGTCATTCTGTCATTCGGAACCGCAACGAAACCATCCAAACATTTTTGCTGAGAGCTTTGAAGATTAAAACTCCTGCCATCTCCTGCCACTGAACATATCTTCCAATCAGCACATAGTAAAACTAGTCTCAACCTCTGGAATGCAGCGGTACTTTTGGCCATAGTAAACGTTACACTCTCACTGGACAATTCATTCAGTTAACTGATCATGCCACAAACCGGGGGACGTTTTTCCCTATGTAAGAGGGGAACACCTTTTCCGTTTGTCCAGAAAGAACACAAATACTGCCAGCTGACAAAATCCGCCCCGAGAGGAGCTGACAAGTCAAGTGACACGAAACCAATGATGGAGATGACTACCGCCACTGCTCTGACAACACCACGCTCCTTGAGACATCTTGAGACGTCCGGGTGAACCATGTCCAAGAGAAACAATGCACATCGAGTATTAAATGATATTAAATGGACCTTTGGTGACTGGTGACTATCCTGTTCACTAGTTACGTTTCTAGATCTGTGCTTCAGGAGCCAGTATCTGCATCTTACAGTATATCAAATAGTATAATCTGTGATCTGTGATGAGCTTGGGCTCAAAATTGCTTACCAACTTGTTCAACATCGGTAGTTGGCTTCCAAGAGCCAAATTCTGACGAGGAAGCAGCAATCCAAGGGCTGCTCGAGGACAAGTTTCACTGGGAGAGAAGGAGGTCTGTGTGCCAATGTCCACCAGTAGCGTGTAAGCTATCCTCAGTGGCAACACCATCCGTGTCATAGGAATTGACACATCATTGACACATCAGAATCCCAGCTACCCATATCCAGCCGGGGCTCCAAAAGCTTTCGCGCAGGTTGGTGCCATAATTCTGATTACCTCCAGACAAAACCCACGCCAACATGCACAGGACCTGAATACCTTGGCGCGCGAAAAGAGTCTCCGCTAGGACTATGGATGAGGAATGATGAGAATGGTATCCACCAGCCCACCCATCAGAGCAACAACAACAACTACTACTGCGTAGTGAACATCTTGGAAAATAGTAGAGGCATAGAAGAAAAGGATCATGAAACGCGAAGCAGAGTGAAACTAGAATGTGGATGTATCTCAAACGAATCAGCCTCATCCACTTGCAATCAAACTGATCTACGGATTCAGAAATGAGGAAAGACATTGACTTTTTTCCTTGATGCAAAACTTACTAAAATATGGTGCTACAGTAATTACCCTCCCAACATGTCGATCTGCCATCCGAGCTGCAACATCCTGCAATAAAGAGGACCAACCAATGACCTCGCCTCGGCCACTGAAAGTGGACAATCAAATCACTTTCAGATTGTCTGCAGAAATCCATGATTTCCAAGGTCAACTTGAACAACTTGGATCAAAACGTTCGCTGTTTCCAGGCCATCAGGGTTTTTTCCGGGACCCCCAGTGGTTTTCCGAGGAACGTGGTCCCGAGGAGCCATGCGCGAAAACCAATCTTCCGTGCCAACTCCGAGCGTTTGGGGCAACATCCCATGGCGCGCGGCGGATCCGGTCACGGAAATGCTGGGCCCCAAATTTTTGGGGCCCCAGAATGATGAAATCCAGCATCCAGCAGTTGGGGGTTGGGGATCCTATATCTTTTTTGATATCTTGTCTGCATCTGCGATCTTTAGGGCTGTGGGGTTGCAAATTGATTTGAGGTTCTTGGAGGCGGGTCTCATCTGTTGCCGCTTGTGAAGATGATGTTCGACATTGGGTGACACCTTAGGCAACTTTGGGTTGATTTAACATGAAGAGGTCCCACAATTAGCATCCACATGCATCCACTAATATCCACCAGCCACTTCTGGCAGCTGAGAAAATAGCTGATTTTGCCAGAAAACCTTTCGACATCTTCATCTTTGTCTCATCTGGCAGCATTTGATCTCATGGCTGGGAACCGTGATCGAAGGCATTCGACATACCACATCATCCCACATCATCGCACCCTGCAAGGTGAAATCAAAGTCCAATATTGTGATCCCACTTGTCTGGATGTTCAACTCCATCTTCTTGGTTATTCTTGGTTTCTAAAGTCCCAACCTAAAATCATTAAATCGATTTACATCGTATCAAACCTGGCCATCAGAAAATCCTAGGTGCCAAAGAGGCACTGAACTGTCCATGGCTTTGCGCTTTTCACAATCCAAAAGCTACTTTCGCCACCGCGCACATAATCGATCGCTTTGGATCGTGGTGAAGCTTGGGAACTCCGAGTGGGTTTACAATTCAGTGCCAACAGACATGATCCCAATTTGGATCATGTCTGATCTAAACATGTCTAGAATTGATATCATATCAAATCATCAAATTCATCTGTTTGAAAACATCTTTCTCCCTCTCTCTCTCTCTATGTATACACTTCTCTCATACAAGTAACATATGACAAACATGGAGCGGGAAACTCTGCTCTTGCTGGTGCACGTTGCAAACCCGTTGCTGCAAACCCTCGATTTCATCACTTTCTCACCATGGGGCTCGGACTGGGACTTTTGAAGAACCTGAAACCGACGTCGTTTTGCAACACCAGGCCACCAGGCACTGGAAATGATGCTTCACTTCTACGCCCAGAACATACAAATTGGGGCTGATGGTGAGTGTTTCTTGTGTGCGACCACAAGAGTTGACAAGCTCTGTATATTTATACATACAGTCACATACATTTATAAATATAATTAGTTTATATAATATATATATATATATCAATATATCTATGTTGCACATCAAACACTATCTATACCTATCCTTCTCTTTCCAGGGAACTTCCGTTGCTTTGGTCAGCGCTTAGGTACTGATCAGGACATGAGGGATACCCTCCTTGTGGAATGGGAGTTCTACATCTGGGCTCCACCATCCATGCTCCGAAAACCCTGGCGAACTCAGGATATGTTGCTCTATCTTATGAATTTCCCCATGCATGGGCAAAACACTCATTGGTTCTGGGGTATTCACAAATTCAACTAATTCATACTAATTCGCAATCATTACACTTCAACCATAACATGAAGGCCCAGTGCAACAAGAGACTCTGGTGGGCAAGATGCCACGAAAATCTCCATCTTGGTCTTAGCGTGAAGTTCAGGCTCTGCACCTGCTGCTAACATGAAGACCTGCGCAGGTTGCCAGAAATCATCAGCATTCATCAGCAATTGTGGAAACACTTGAGATGGACGACTCACAACGCGCCTTTCCAGGAGTCACCTCCTGGTGGCTGAAGGGCGATTTTTCGGAATTTCAGGTCATCATTGCATCAAAGGGATGGCACCAAGAGACGGACTACCATTGTTTCACATGAAAAACTAAATTCTTTTCTGAGTGTTTCTGAAAACTTCGGGGGAAAAAAACGTACCTCAAAAATCATGGATTTTCCATGTTTTCCCTGTGAAACATGATCCATTTCGATTCATTTCAACCGATCCCTGTCCTGGGTCTCACCGGAGATGGTCACATTCCCTCACATGCAGGACGTGATGTTATCACTCTCCAGATATTATTCGGACATAAAAATATAGACATATATGGAATCATTATATGCGCACGATTTTTTTTAGATGCACTATATTGTACTATATACATCATAGATTCTGGACAAACGTTGGATACTTGTGTCAGTAGTGCCGCACAAGGCGATGGCGGAAGTTTCAAAAATAGGAAACCTATGGGAGAGGTTGGTTCTTTTAAATCACGGATGGCAGAGCGAATCCACTGATGGACCGAAAGGTGGTTGGAGTTGTTTTTTTGGAGTGGTTGCCATGGTTGCAGTGGTCACCTCACCACAACTGCTGGATGTAGTGTGACGTAGTACAATGGTAGTTGTAGTTGTAGTTGTAGTGTAGTGTTATTAGTGTAGTGTAGTTGCAGTTGCAGTTGTAGTTGTGGTGTAATTAGTTTAGCGTGGTGTAGTGCAATGTAGTGGTAGTAGTAGTTGCAGTTGCTGTTGTAGTGTAATGTAATGTATTTAGTGTAGTGTAGTGTTGTGTAATGTGGTGGTAGTTGTAGTTGCATTTGTATTTGTAGTGTGCTGCAGTGTAATTAGTGTAGTGCAGTTGCAGTTGCAGTTGCAGTTGCAGTTGTGGTGTAGTGTAATTAGTGAAGTGTAGTGTAGTGTAGTGCAATGTAGTGGTAGTTGTAGTTGCAGTTGCAGTTGTAGCAGTAGCATAATGTAATGTAATTTGTTTAGTGTTGTGTAATGTAGCGTAGTTGTACTTGTATTTGTAGTTGTAGCGTGCTGCAGTGTAATTAGTGTAGCGTAGTGTAGTTGCAGTGGCAGTTGCGCTTGTAGTTGTGGTGTAGTGTAATTAGCGTAGTGTAGTGTAGTGCAATGTAGTGGTAGTTGCAGTTGTAGTTGTAATTGCAGTTGTAGTGTAATGTAATGTAATTTGTGTAGTGTTGTGTAATGTAGTTGCAGTTGCAATTGTAGTTGTGGTGTGGTGTAATTAGCGTAGTGTAGTGTAATGTAGTGTAGTTGCAATTGTAGTTGTAGCTGTGGTGGTGGTGGTGGTAGTAGTAGTAGTTGTTGTTGTTGCAGTTGTAGTTTTAATTTAATTAGTGTAGTGTAGTGTAATTAGATGTAATTATATAGTGTAGTGTAATGTATTTAGTGTAGTGTAATGTAGCGTAATGCCAAGTTAGGATTAATAATCCCCGCGGTATTAATCAACCCCCTCTGCCCCCCCCCCCAAAAAAAATGTAATTTAAAAAGGTGGTCCCCCAGGATTAATAAACCCCCCCGATTAAAAAACCACCAGTGCTGGGATCAATTTTTTTGCCCACAAAATTTTTTCCAATTCTATTTATTTCCAATTTGTTTTTAACTTTTTTTAATCATTATTGTTATACTTAAGGTTTAAGTTGATCATTGAAAATTTCAAAAAACGACTATTCCCCAAATGATCGATTTCTAATTAAAATCTTTATAAAAATCACCAGTTTGGATAGCTCCCAAAGGGTACCCCCCATGAGCCCATGTCCCCCATTAATAATAACCAGGGTTTGCCCCTGATTAATGAACCACCTTTCTGATTCGTGAGATTTTAACAAATCCAATAGAATTCTATTAAGATCTAATTGACGTAAGCCATATCCAAATCTTTATGGTTCAGAGTTGCTCATTATTAAGGGATGGTCAAGAAACTAGCCAGAAGGTACCCCCTACCTACCAGGGGGGGGGGTTGATTAATCCGATGTTGGCATTAGTAACTTTATATTTGTAGTTGTAGTAGCAGTGTAATTAGTGCGGTGGTAGTGGTAATTGTAGTTGCAGGTGTCTACCTATCAATCTGTCAATCTGCAGGCTTGAAAACGAAGCAATTCTGCGAGACCCCCTCAATGTTCGAAGTTGACAACGTCAAAAAAGAAAAACATCTGCAAGACTCCTACAATTTTCCAACTTGACAACGTCAAAAACGAAGCAATTCCGCGAGACTTCCTGAATTATCGAAGTTAAAACGAAGCAGCTCTTGGAGACTTCCTTCAAAAATGGAAAGTTGAGTGCAGAGCTGACGGCCTTGTACCAATGCGTTTTGCGATTTGCCCACTCCATCTGTCTAAAATACGAAAAATGAGGCCAGGACATACGAAGTGCTGCGCCTGTCACACAAAATTATCTTCCCAAAACTAAAGATCTGATGCTCCAAAATGCAACCACTTTCAGGAAATGACCGCCGGGACCTCCTAACATCTCTGATGAACATGTTTCTTGTACTGTGCCTGCCGCGGAAAATGCATCTTTGCAGATCCTCTTCAAATGTCCCACGCCTGCCAACGCTTTTGAAACTGCCACAAAACCCTCACGTTTTGCTCACTTTGGACAAGGTGCACACTCCCTTGCGCCTGCCACGCAAAACGACATCTGAACGCCCAAAGGTGGTCCGAACATGTCTTGAGATGTGGCGTTTTTAACATTTTGACTTGGAAATGTGTTTCGCACCACAGCGGCGTGCACTTTTTCGACATGTCAACTTCCAAAAGTGGTCCAAACATGTCCGAACATGGTGTGTTTTGGACATTTTGACTTCCAAATGTGCTTCCTGCCACAACGGCGTGCAATTTTTCATCTCTCATTTGGCCAGATGGCTCCGCACTCGCCGCTTTAGCGAGCCTATTTTTCGACCCTTCGGAGCCACAAATTATTGGAAAAACACAGTGAATCGCCACTTTCTACCCTTTCGCACACCTGCATCTTCTTTCTTCTCACTCTTTCTCTTCTCTTCTCTGACTGTTCCCACCTCTGCTTTTCCATCTCTCCATATTGTTGGAAGTTTGACTTCCAAACTTCCTTCGATAATATTGTATACATGTATAAAATTGGATACTCTCTCTCTCTCTACACACACACATATATAATATATATATATATATATATGTATATGATGTATGTGATTATCAGATTATCTATCTATCTATCTATCTATCAATTGATATATCTATCAAACCTAACCTAATCTAATCTAAATCAAATCTAGTCAAATTCTAATCTGATTAATGAATCAAATCTAATCTATCTATATACCCCAATCATCTCCAATCTAATTTATCTACACTATGATAACCCACTCACCGGCATAATCCCAGTACCTGAAGCCGGGTCCAATATAGGGCCCTACCAGGTCCTACCAGCTGCCGCTGCTTCGCCGAGTTGCCGCATCCAGAGAGGTTCAACGCCATGGCAGGGCCATCGCTACTGAAGAGCCGACGCTGCTCCCCTGCACGCGGCGATGATTTAAGGGGAAACTCACAGGGAAAAAACACATGATCTTACCATATCTTACCATATCTTACCCCAAATGGGGGAAGTGTCCTGTCATTTTTTCTCTTCAAAAATCTTTGCTGGCAATCTTTGATTTGTTTTAGAGTGTTGTTGGTGGAACTGTCTTCAATGAAATGGCCTTTGGATCAATTTGGGATGTCCGACCTGTGATGCAAAGGCTTTTTCACTTGGGAACCATTGCAAAGTGTTCTCGACATCATACGAATGTTGATTGCAGTCAGGCAAATGCTCGCTTTGATCCACACACTTTCAGTCCCAGCCCAAGATTTTCGGGATGTCCTCCTGCTTCTATCTGCATGTGGGTCACCTGAAACTCCTGACATTCAAAGAAATCGTCTCAGGATTGGCGCCAGCCAGTTTGTTTGTTCCTTAAATGATCACAACAGGTCAACAGGAAGGGTCATAGTTTCCCTTCGTGACAGACTGCAAGTCATTCCAACTTAGTCAAGTTAGTAGCTTAGACATGACCATTCTTCCCGACATCTTCCCGTTTAATTGAGCAGCCGAACACCTTGAACTATTGCAGGATCATTCTAGTGTGTCGCATGTTGCTGGACGCTCAATGGCACACATGTAACAGAGTTCACGCCAGCAACCATACACTCACCTATTAGTGTTCAGCAAGACACATGACGAGAAAGAATCTACCTGCTAAGCTGTGGAAAGCTATCAGCTGTGGAACCAACTTCCCCGGAACTTCCCCTGCCATCCGATCATCTGCAGAAAACCAGTCCTGTATGTCCGGGTCTGAATAGAGCAGGATGCCCTTTTCTAGCCTGCAACAGCCAACAGCAAGGGACATATGTTACGGAATCATGGAGTCTTCCATTGACTGAGGGATCTCTCTAAAAAAACCTTTACTGGAGCTTGCGGAAATACTGGCTGCTCAATCAAACCTTCATTCAATGCCAAATTATCATATCTACAAGCTTGGTTTGATTGCATACTGTAGATGTCCATCATATATACTGGGAAAACCTAAAACCATGTGATAGCCTTTTCTAAAACACACGCATACCAAACAGCAAAAAAAATCGCCCAAAGTCTGATTTTTCCAATCCATGGATCTAGACATTATTTCCTTAGAAAGACACAGTTTGTGAGATTCTCTTGTTCCCCCTGCCATGTTGTTCTACACCATTGGTCAAGCCTCCTTTTCCAAATGTTTCGCTGGCACTGATTGTTTGGGAACCCCAAGAAATCAACTTTGAAATGGGAAAAAATCGGTCTCTGATTCAGTCGGGCTTTTTTTCAAACCTGGAGTACACCCCAAAATTGCCACAAGTTTAATGAGACAATGCTCAACCACTCACTATAGATTTTTGGAGTAGCCTATCTGACATATCCTTAGACAAAGCCATTTTCAGCCCATTCAATTTCACCCCAAACTTAGGCGTCTACTCCGTCGGTTCCAGTGTAGCAGGAGGTCCGCCTGCCAGGTTTTCAGTTTCAACAGGACGAGCCATCAAACATCTGAGAAATTCACAATCCCCAGAAATTGGGTGGTTTTGTATAAAGAGGGATTTTCCATTGTTTCTCCCAGTCATCTCACTTAATCAAATCAAAGAAATGACTAAAGTCAAGTACAACTTCACATGTTGTCCGTTCATGTAACATGCAATACCCTTCTTGCACAACTTCAAGACTACAGTAGAGTCTTCATCATCCGTCAGAACGTCTCTCGTCCTCGCATACCATGAATTGGACACATCCCTCCATCATTGGGCACCAGGGTAGACCACAGCTCCCTGGTGAGGTAACCACACCTCTGTAATTCAGCATCTCACACAAAACCTCCACGTCCTCTGATGTCATTGTGGATAGCAAAAAGGATTTCCAACATGACACCTGTCAATGAAACCCGCCAAACTATGCTAAGGTTGAGGTTTTCGATTTCGCATTGATTGATACAACGAATGTCAAGCAATGAACGACTATGTTCATATGATTTTGTGTTGCCATACAAATGTTGGCTGAGACTCAGACTTGATCTATACACATCTTATGATATGTGGATGCCTGGTTGGGACACATACATCTGTGTAAAAAACTACCAGTCATATTTTATTGATACTATTGGCACCAAGGAATACTATAGGATACTATTGATACAGTAGGTACCAATGGAATAGGATGATTTTAGTGATACTATTGGCACCTACTGTCCCCATTGGTGATCCTTGGATTCCGATGTCAACTGCGTCCTTGAACTTTGGGGTCAGCCCTCCACGGACCACATTGTCCGAGCAAGCCATACACCTTGTTGTTCGATAGATGATGTAGATGTAGATGATAGTAGATAGTAGATGTATATATAGCTGTATAGCCAAATGATGACTCTGACTCAATAGATCATGGCAAAGTCACAATCACAGCAAACTTTGCAACATGTTTCAACCTAAAAAAACACCATAAAAACCAAGCCATTCCAAGGTCGCCACTCGACGATATCACCAGAGATGTAGGCGTGCGGAACATTTTGTGCCATGTACAAACCTGGCGATCCATGGCCATGGATTGATCATGGAAATTGGCCAGACCCATTGATTGGACCCACTGGCGTCATGGGTCAAGGCACATTCGCCATGAAATATCACATGTAAGCTTTTGATATATGTATATAATACATCAATATATGATAATATTATATATATAATTATGTATGATTATGTATAATATATATATATACATATTATCCAGGCAAAGGCATAGGCATAAACCAATGCTCCTCACTCAATTGGAAAGATTGGTATGACCGGTATGATCTACAGTAACATCATCTAAAATCTAACTTGCCGTTGTTGATGACACCCCACTTGGACCTGCTCCATGTTCTACGCTTAAAACATCCGAATGGCATCCTTGGCCATGTTCAATGGATTTCAATGGCCATCCAAGCAGCTTGCATGGCCAAGCAACATTCACCCACATTCAGGCGGACGTAGTTCATGAAAAATACTGAAAAGATACCTCCCAGAGATTTCGAACCACCATTTCCATCCCCCCATTTCCAAACTAATGCAAACTACAATTCCTGATGAAAACCTGGCAATCATCCTGACGGCGTGAAAAACTGGCATTTGCGATTCAATTCCAAATGTTTAGTCCTCATTCCCTGTCACTCAGCATGTGTGCAACCATGGCTATGGCCATCTATGGCCATCTATGGCCTATGTCCTCCTGGTACTGCTCATAGAGCTTGCCTCAGTTTCTTGCAGTGGAGCAGGACATCTGTTTCCTGCTGCTTCAATGGCTTCAATGAAACTAATCCTGCCAGGCTGCATACCAGTGACAAGCACTCCTGCGTTCGATCAAAGCATATCAAAGCACTATGGTAGCTGGCGGTCAAATCCAACAAATTATGGCAGGCATAACACGACTGTATGGAAGGATTGATGATTGATTCATGGATGCTGAAACTGTGTGAAACGGACATTTAGATGATTGAACCAGCACATGGAAACATGGCGACGCTGCCAGCAAACGCCTGGCACACTGCACCACGTGGAAACAACAACAGTCAACAGTCAACAACAATACCCCAAAAGTTTAAGATACTTGAAGTACCTTTAAGTAACAAACCATTTTCGAAACATCTTCAACTACTCAACCTCCCAGGTTTCTTGTTTCTTGTACGCAAGTATGCCATCCTTCCCATACCTATGTCATCCATTGTAATGCTTCAACCTGCCAATGGCGGACATCCATTGGGGGTGCTCCTCCACATTGTGTGGGACCTGCTCGGTGGCCGGGTAGCCGTAGTTCATCGTGGCCTTTATGGCGCGAGAATGAAGCAGCTGCACCTGGTGCTTCATCTCAGCCTCCTCCGCGTGCATCCTGGGCGGTTTCCCCCTGGGCTTTCCCATTGGTGTCCCATGGGCTTCCCCTTGTGTGCTGGAAAAAATCTTGGGGTGCTTGTGGATGGCGGTTGATTCCTTAATATCTTTGATCAATACATTACACCAAGTCACGTATTACGTTGAGACATGATTGAATGTTTGGAATACCTTCTGTCGATGGTGATGTTGTGGAATGTTGTGGGCGCTTTTGTGCAACTTGGTCAAGGAGTGTTCCAGTCTCTGGGTGTCACTATCCAAGCTTCATCGAGCAATAGGCTAAACGCAGGGCCTGCAACCGTGGCAAGAAGAACCCGGGATGACGTTTTGATTCAAAGCGGATGTGACACTAGGACCATCAGCGGCTGATAGGTCAGCGCCTGCACCCAATGTTGATACCAAAAAGCCTGGTAGCATGTGATGCCCATTGGTTACTTGATAACATTTGAGAACTTTGGCCGGCTCTGCTTAGGATGGGTTGTGAATTGAGCTGGGATAGCACGTCGTTGCGCTCATCGCCCAGATTCCACACATGCATCTGTTCCCCAAAATTTGCAACAGTGAACAAATCACTAGTCTGTTTCAACAAACCTTTATGTCCGGCCATGAACAACAGGGAAAACCAATGAACACTGTGTATATGTATATATATATATAACAATCAAAATTTCCGAGTCATTGGGTCCTGAAAGTTCCTGACGAACCCACCTCCCATGGGTGCCTCAGACTCCCTATCCTCGTCTCCAAGGGATGCTTCCAACTCTGGAACCGCCTCTGAACCAATCAGAGCTACAAGCTCCGGCACGTGCCTCGAGGCCACATTTTCAAGGTCGAACTGGTGATGTTTTGAGTACTGGTCATCCCCCCAAAAGAGGGAAACCTATGGCATGTGGAACATTATGGATCCTGGAAATGTTCGAAGTCTGATTTTTTGGAGACTTTACAATGCACGAAATTAAAACATCATGCTGTTTGACAAGTGATTGTCCTTCACCATTTCTTCACGCGCCGAATTTCGCATCGCCGGATGTTCCTCTATGGACTTCCCTTAGAACACCAGGTACAGATTCTACGTATGGACCAAAGAATTTGGATGGATCAAAATGATCAAAACCATTCAAAAACTACTATAATTAATATGTATATATATATAATATTTGTTTTATAGTATATATATGTTGTATATATACGTATATATGCAATCTTTTGGAGTGGATGAACATCAATCCCAGCTATTTTGGTGTTCAACAGATCAAGTTTTCATTGACTCCCAGGCGCGGTAGCATCTGGAGGATCTCTGAGACTGGGCGAAAGCCACCTTGGGAATTGCAATATGCATACATCTACAGGATATCATCACTATAGAAACATATAGAAATTATACACACCTATAAACTTGTATGTAATTTGTGGATATCTATGTGCATATACTGACTTATAGACATGTATGTGTCTAGACTCTAGACAGTGTATTTATTTATGAACTCCGTCGTCCAGGTGTTGAGAGGAGAATCCGCAAGCATCTGATGTTCATGATGTTCGAATCAACGATTCGTGAATGGATTTCTGGTTCTTACAAACTCTAAAACCATCTATATAACAAAGTCTAAAACCCTTTGAGACCTAGAATCTCACAGAACTAATAGAATGGAGATATTTGCTGCGCCAACATGACTGTGCACAAGTTCTGACTCCTTTGTGAGCCGAGAAACAAAGAGCCTGGAAGTCATCGCTTAAAGCAATGGCAATCTCTGGCTTGTGGTTTGGATCTTTGTATATGTCTGGCCGTTCCTGGGCTTTTTACAAAGCAAAATTCAAGGGCAACATTTCCCGAGCTAGATCAGCCAGTGAGCACCAAACCGAATCAGAAATCAATAAGAAATCAATCTCGATACGACTCCTTCAACCAGAGTGCTTCATCAAACATGAATTGCTGTGGGCATCTCAACCTTCCTAGGAAACAGTTCTGAGACGACCATGAAACGGTGAGCTTTGGGGATACCCCAAATGTTTGCAACACCCACAATCAAGACCCACAAAGTGATAATGATAATGCCAATGATAATGATCATGACAATTATTATATACAATTATAATATATCATAAACAAATAATGATCATGATACCTGGGATATACAACATGAAAAAATAATGGTCATTATGTTATATTACCCTCTGGTAAACTAACATAGCTATGGAAAATCACCATTTTCAATGGGTAAATCCACTATAAATGGCCATTTTCAATAGCTATGTTAAATTACCAGAGGGTATCCATAATGATATTCCATCATGATACTGGGCTGACTTCAGGCCCAGGGATCTCGATGGAGCTTTGCGGCCCGGATCTTATCAGGATGCGCTTGAATGGACAAGGCCTTGTGAATGGATAAGACCTGCAACGATTACCCTCTGGTAATTTAACATAGCTAAAGAGAAAGTGCCATTTATAGTGGATTTTCCCATTGAAAATGGTGATTTTCCATAGCTATGTTAGTTTACCAGAGGGTACTGAGATTCCACAGATTCACTGCTGCAACTGAGTAAAATTAGGCATCCAATTCATCGATCATCAGTGGTGACTGGTGATTCAGCAAAAAGAATCATGGAAGTATTTAGCATCCAACTATCATCAATTATCCAATAATCATCCAATGATTCTAGAAGTATTCTCCAATTATCATCCCAATTATCATCCCAATTATCATCCCAATGATCATTCAATAAACAGCAACAACATTAATCCAACATTAATATCCAACATATCCAACATTAATATCCAACGAATATCCAACGAATATCGATGAGTTTGGTTTTTTTCAACAGCCCACCTTCAGCAAAAATGGAAGTTGTTTGGTCTCTGAGAGCTGCCCCAGCATGGATGGGGACCGATGCATCACCTCTTGTAAGGAACTACTTCTCCAAAGCCTCAGCGTCTGGTTGTTGTGGAAAACCATCTGCTATCATCATTACTACTATGATATATGTATATATATGTTATATATGTTATATGTATATATATATATGTTATATGTATATATATATATGTTATATGTTACATGTATATATATACATAATATGATAGTTGTATATATATTTAATCATTCATAATGATTCTAAATTGGGGAACATTCAATGCTTTGCCCATCTTCTGTCTGTTTTTAACGTCGGCTTCAAATTCTGGTCACATGCAACCAGAGGCTGCTTGACATCCGGAGAGCTTGTTTGGCAGTCATCTTGTGTCAATGTTATGCTAATATGCAACCCAACTTCAACACCATCTATAATGATAGGACAGAGATCCAAAGGTATATCTGCAACCTCAATATGTGCAATTTAAATTAATATACTGTTATATATATATATATCATGTAAGTGCGCATTTGGTATACAAATCAAGCTATAGTACCCTCTGGTAATTTAACATAGCTATTGAAAATGGCCATTTATAGTGGATTTTCCCATTGAAAATGGTGGATCTTTCCATAGTTATGTGGCTGTTAACCAGAGGGTATCCCTCGTAAAGACGTCGTAAACTGATCCGCCCAGGCACTTCTTTTTGGGTTCCTTTCCACTGGGACTTTGAACTCGAGCAGGTCCAGAGGGATGATCTCCCATCCACAGCTCCGCGAAAGGTTTGCTGTCCTCCTGGTGAACTCTCTCTATATATATATAGTGTATATAGAATATATATATATGAATAATACTTATAACTATATATAATATGCACTATATGACTATATATATATATATGCATGTATATACTGGTATGTGTGTATATATATAATATGCACACTTATACATATATATATATATATAATACATACTTGTTTTTTTTCCCCCCACGGTCCATTGTTGCTTTACGCCGCGACCGGTGTCTCGAAAGAAATGAATTCAGAAAAGGAGAAAAGACCCTACCTATACATATATGTGTGTGGGATATCAACCATTAAATATATAGAAATATTAACTATATAACGGATAAATGCCAAACCATTTTGCGGGGTCCATTGTGGGGTATAGCGGGATAATGCCCACAATACATGGCGGTCCAAAAGGGGAAAATGATGATACACGCTGACAAACCATGAACATTTGGGGCAACCTATCTTCAAACAAAGCCATCGCAAAATGATATCTCAAAGAATATGCATATATATATATAATCATATATCTATATATATATATATATATGTTGTAGAAACTTCAGGTTTCCAGATATGAAGCATAAACTCCCTTGGTGAATGATTCCATTTGAAGAAATACATGCTTTGCTCTACTCAAAGCCTGGCCAGGTGGCCTGTCCTCCTTGTCATTCTCCGGAGTTTGCTGCCCAGTCAGGGCTGCAATAATGCTCTCGTTTCTGGGTTTACCTTATTGGGATCCCTTGGGCACGGGGCAAAATGTGCAAAATTCTGAAACAATCTGGAAGTCACACAAAAAACATGGTGTCAGCTCATCCAAACAGATTCTGATTGTTTAAGTTTGCGTATATAAATAGTGAGATACATATACATACATATAATATAATATAATATAATATAATATAATATGTATATAATATGTATATATATATATATGGCGGTTGATCTAAATTCCTTTAATCTGCAAACGGCCATTCTTCCTGCATCAAAAAAAACTTTCGCGAATCTTTCGTGAAACCCACGTTTATCTTTCGCGGGGGTCTCATATTAAAATCTTTCGCCCAAAAAAATCCTTTGTCGAATTCAGAAAAAACTTTCGCGGGGGTCTCGTGTTGGAACCCTGGCAGCTTTTGTAATGGACAATCTTTACATTGACATGGACCTTTAGATCGACAATCATATATCTGTATCTCTATATCTATATATATATCATATATATCATATACATTATTGATGATGGTATGTTTTGGGGCCGGAACAAGAAAGAAACAAAGAACATCATCATCAGATATCATCAGGATAGACATCAACGGCTCTCCAAGGCACCCCAGTCATAGTGCTGCGTGAATGGAGTTAAGGACAGCAGTTGAATGCCGAGGCCATCAACCATTTGGATGCCCAGTTCGGTACACACCTGACCAAAAAAGCCACGCGCGTTGTGGAAAACGCCAGGCTTTTTTCGGCTGGTGAGGTTACTCAATGTGGGAATAAACATGGTAGAACCAGGAATCAACCGGGAATGATTCCTGCCCGAATAAGGCCCATCGATGGTAATATGGGGCATGGTTTCTGGTTGCATTTACCACATGTTATAGTCTTTGGTTGGATTTCTACCAAACCTTTCTGGCTTTTGCTGTGCCAACCATTCCCGAAGAGTGCCCGGATGAAAGCATTCTTGACAGTGATAGGTGATAGGCATCTTGCCAAATCGTTGAAACTGATGCATTTTCCCCCTACACCAAATGTAATGCAATGGAAGTTGATTCAGAAGCAATGAAATCACGATATATCAGGAATATGAAGATATTGGGGGATGGACCGTTTTCAGGGAATCAATGCATCTTTTCGACTCTCTGCTACATAAAATCACACACACACACACTAGCAGCCATTCATATCCATTCATGGCGGCATGATGATGATTGACAAGTGTATCAAGTACTTGTTGATCTGGGGGGTTCCTAAAACTTGTCCCCCCAAAGTTATGATCCAGGAAGAAAGTAGAATAGTGCCACTATTTTTGTCGGATATTACGTTTCTAGCTTTTTGGGAGGAGCTACACACGGGACAATTTTTACATGGGGAAACCAATGGTTGGTTTTGGGATCCACTCACCCATCGGATTCCGAACCTTGAACTCCTGCTCTGTGGGCTTTGAACCACCACCGTTGGCAAAAATGTCTGGGTGAAGCAATCCTCGGCTTAACATAGCTTAACTGGACCACTGAACATCCACTGAACTAGTGGCGACTGGAAGACCTGAAACCTTCATTGTTTCATCAAGATGGACACATCCAGATCCATTGAGCCCATATCAATCTATGTCACCAAAAGAGGCCCTGAATGGCTGGACAGCTAAGCATCGCAACGTTTCAGCCACTGACTCGTCTTCATCAATGGCTTCCACCGCGGCATCGACACACTGCAAGGATCGGACAAGTTTTACCCGTTCACGCGCAGGCAGTCGCATTTCGCCACCATTCTTCTTGTGTTTGGCCTCAAATTGGCGTGGATATGTGTGGATTTCAAAGGGAACTTCTTAGCAAACGAGAAAATTCATAGTTTTCCATCCTCTTTTCCCTCTTAAAATTGCCATTTTGGGCTAAATCTCCATAATCCATCACAATCCCCCATTTTCGAACAAACCATGACACCAAGAACACCAAGCTGCTGCTTGCAAGTCGTTGTTCACGATCACAATCAAACTGGTTCCAAGGTCACGTGCCTGGCTGAGGCAACCAACTTTCGACCACCGATGACCTGACCCGGTTCTGTTCATGTGAAAAAAATCCGTTTGTTGGATAGTGGCAACAAACCGATTCAGTATAAGCTGGTAACATATAATAATCACACTAAGGATAGTAGTAGCAAACAACATTCTGGGGTCCAAACATCACGCGACTCATCCATGCAAACGGAATTGAAACAAATCTATTGCACACATAATTTTCAATTGGATGATTTGATAGATTTTGATGATTTTGAACTATGCAATTATTTCAGTGCGTAACTTAATACATTTTGATACCATGTTCAACAGTGACTGCCTTCATCCACAAACAAATCCACATTCCTCTTCCAAAAAAAACGTCTTCTGGGCATGTTGGCATGTCTGAAGACCTCAAAACATCTCATGATCATATGATCATATGTTTTTTTTGTTAATCCCCTCACAAAAACAATGAAAAATGGATCTATTCCATCCAATTATGCTGTTTGGCTACTAGGCATCCTTATTATGAGTGGTCAACATCCCCAATAAATCAGTTAGTATTATTACTCCTCATAACAACCAATCCACATTTTCAAATAAAAGTGGTTCACGTAGATTTGTAGATAAAATGGTTGCATTATTCGATTATCCCATGGACAGCTCTTTGCCTTCTCCAGATAGGACACATGTCCATAGTGCAAAGGATTGAAGTAACCAGATGCCACGACCACACGCTTGGTCATTTGTCCTCAGCGTTCGACGGGACGCCATCATATTGTTTTCTGCTGAAATGAATATCATGCAAACCAAATCATACTAATAGTTACTAGACATACACCATCCACAACCTGGTGTGCAAACTGCAAGACTCTGTTTCAGTATGTTTCAGTGTCAAATTATTTGGCAGCACAAAAACTTAAAGATTGATAGCACCGAGCATCATCTGACAGGCCCCTTGACAAGCAACATTGCTGGAGTCATGCAAACTTTGGCAGAACTGTGGTTGAGCCAAAAACAAACAACCGCGAAATAAATGCACGCCCTGCCCCCCTCCCTCAAAAGTAGTTTGGGCCTGCTTAGTGAAAAACACAGGACGGCAAAGCTCTCAAACTCCCGCCCATTGGGTGTGTTTACTCACCAAATAATACAGCGGTGGTCACTTCTGCAAGCTTTCCAAATCTCATCTTAAGCTGTTCCAACACATCGCAGCAAGTGAATCCAACCATCAAACTGCTGGTTGGAAACTGGGGCAATTGAAAAACAAGGCCAAACTTCAAAAAAATAGCTTCAAGTCCAAAGTCATGCCACTCGACACATTGGCTTTTCAGCATTCTCTGGTGCCATGCGCGTGTCAGCGTTCAGCCTGCACCGCTAGTTCAAACCCCAACACTAAATTGACTGGTAGATCTATCCAGGACTTAGACTTGATTCGTGCAAGCCTTGTTTTTTTTCCATAGCTTTCCAATGTTTTCCACATTTTTCAAACAACACATAATTCATCATGAAAGCTCCAGATCCACTGGCATTGGTGATCATTGACTCTCCAATTTTACTGGATGTTCCCTATGAAATTTCCATAAAATTGGGGAACCCATTGTCCAAACAAACCCACAACACGTATCAACACGTATATAAATATATAAATAAATAATATATATATATATATATTATATTATATATATAATATATATATATATATCATCTATCATATGTACATAATCCATCATAATCCCATATCGTGGTTGTATGTGGTTGTAGTGCTCCAGCCTTGGCCTAGATGACGGATGTTGGATGGCGGGCAAAACCAGATCGTCGGGATGGTCCTTGGTGTCCGTGGAGTCCTTGGAGCAGTCCAGGCACATCCAGGCACGAGCTTTGCAACCAGAATTACCCCCTGGTAAATTAACATAGCTATTGAAAATGGCCATTTATAATGGATTTACTCATTAAAAAATTACCACAGGGTAACCTGAAATATGACGAAATGATCAACACATACATCCGAAATAACCTTCCATCAACTCGACTCAACCAACACTGAAATATGCATCCTGCATCCTGGAGGACCTAGCCGCAAGAATTTTCTCATGATGATCTCATGATGTATATATCTTCAATTGCCCTTTTTTGTGGCCAAATGGCAACAAATACCAACACACTCATATATCAATGGATTGGTTTCAGGGAAAATTTACAGGAAAACCCCATATTTAATGGGAAAATCCATGGTTTCCTGTAGATTTTCCCTTAAACCAATCCATTGAATATAACATTGCAGGTCAATGAGCCGAAGCTGTTGGAATTTGGGGGCCCCAGGGGGTGCCATCCACATCGACTTCAGAACGGGCCGAGATTTTTTCATGCCGAGAGTCGTGGCATGTGGTCCTGGGATGGGAAAGACACCAACCCCCTGTTCATCTCTTGTCATCATTGTTAATGCTTGTTATGTATATATATAATAACATGGCATATATACATATATAAATAAACAATACTAAACATACAAATATAATCAAATATACATAAATATACAATATATACGCATCACACATCGCATCATATCGCATCTCTTTTGGGGAGCTGTGTTGTTTCTTGCAGAAGGAGCGGGGATTCGCTTACCGGGACACGAAGTCATCAACCTATTTACTGCATTTCACCAACGTTCCGAAAGCAGCACACTGCAAAACCAACCTTTCCAGTACAGAAGTTTCACATGTTTCACAGCAATTGAGACTATTCGCATCTAGTCAAATCAAACAAACCATCATTAAGAAACATCTTGGAGCGCATGAGTTTACAGTTGCTGTGCCTGCCACATCATCACCCCCCGGCCTCCCCATCTTCCATTTGCGGTTCACGCGGACCCCTTGGCGACTGGATGCGACGGGGGGCCTATTGGAATTATCATCATATCAAAATTGCCAGTGTGACACTGGCAAAGACACAAAAACTCTGCCCCCTAAAATATTGCTGATATTTGCTGATTGCTGAGTACATTCAAAAATTGCTAATTCGCTCAAAGCAAACACCAAGAAATAGCCAAGAAAGCGGTGGAGTCATCCTGTGATGAATTCCACAGGAGACAACACAATTGATCAACATGTATCATATTTACCGCTTTTTAAGGTTCATACCAATTGATCTGTACCATATGACGCCATATGAAACTATTATGAAACTCAAGGTTTCCAATTGTACCCACACAATCTTCCTTATTCAAATTCATAGCATTTCATACGAGTAGCTCGCCTTTGGGCACTGCATGGCACGTAAGGTGTGATTGAGAAAATCGGGCACCAAAAATGCTGGATTCTCATGGATTCCCATGATTTCCCAACGAAATTGGGCACTTTTTTTTTGGTGCCCCGACTACACCTCAGTTTTTTCGACAACCCCAGTTCGCTGAAAAATTTCACACTAAGTGGCTTTCGCAGCTCCTGCAGTAGCCAGTGCCGGAAGAAGGCTGCTTCCTCATGGTCCGCCTCCTGCTGGACTGCCGTGGGAGAGATGGGCAAATGGCTGGTCTCACCTAGAACTCGGCTGCAATTGTGACCATCATACCATCATTACCATCATTACCATCATTGCCATCGCTACAACGTTACCACCACCACCACCAGCAGCATCATCAACAAAACAATCATATATATATATATAATTATATAATCATCATCATGGCATGATCATCATGATCACGATCATGTTACCATGATGACCAAACAATACCACATGATACCAAGCACCAACCTACACTCCAAATTCAAACAAACACTAGATCAAGCCTCTACTGGCACTGACATGTCAAAGGACTTCAGAAAGTTCTGAACCGCTGAGACATCTCCTGGCTAGATGGCTCGAAATACCACCATCATAGCAGTATCAGGTATTTCATTGTATTTCATGTTCCATATGGGGATCCTGCGAATATCCCCCGATACCGAAACAACTCCTCAGCCTGTGTCTGCTCTGTCGCCTCCGCATCCTGCCGTGGCCATTGGAATTGGAATGGCCCTGGGAGGAGTACGGTACCATGGAAAATTCTGGGCTTCTGAGTGCCGTCGGCTGCTGCTTCCATCGCTTCCTCCGTTGTCATGTCCTCGCATTCTGCCGCTTCCTGGCGGCGAACCACGGCGATCTGACAGATCTGATGTCCAATCTCACACGTATCCAGAATCCAGAGCCAAGCCAAACCTCTCAAGTGTGACTGACCCCAGCTTTAGTCTGCATAGGTTCTTCCAAACAGAACGATCGATATTTGCAGTTTGGACAAACCGATTTGCAAACGCAAAAAGTTGAATCAACTTCCCGGATGCAAAGGCATATATATATATATACTTATAATTTGTACTATTTTATATTTATCATATGGCCACCACTCTCATCACAAAGTGAATAGGGTACAAGACCTTGACAGGCCATGACAGGCCTGCATCTAGCCCACGAGCTGTGTACGACTACATGTCATGGTCACAGCCCCTTCCCACTCTTACAGGTTGGATGAAATCGATCAAGTGGATAAAAGTCCCTTGCGTGTTCCAAGCACGCTTTAGCTGATAGCATCTTATAACAACTCTGGCCACAAGACCTCAACAATAAGCAATAATCTTTACATTTTGGCCTCGCGTTTCTGTGCCATCACCAGGCCATTGTTTTTCAGACCTGTACTGACTGCACCACTGTCACTCACATCTCAGCAGCCAAGAGCTGGCAGCTTCACACCTTTGCAACTCCAACACGCAGCAATAGACCCACAGCAGCTCACCCAAGCGACATGCCAATCGTGGAGCTTCACGGCGCCAGAGCGTCTGGGAGTCTGAAGTGTTCACGTCTCGCTTGCGTTTCATCGGAGGCAGATTCCCGACCCAACGGCCCAAGAGTGCCAGGAGGGCGCCGAGAAGCAACCAAGGAGGCAAATCTTGATGTCCAAAGGCTATCCCAAAGGCCAAGTGCCCCATGAGTGCTAATCCAGCCCCTGCATACAGAGCTTTGCGAGCTTGTGCTGGTACGAAAACAGCGCGCCCAGTTTCTTCAAGGTCGGCTTTATCCAGTCGAAACTGTCCTCCCAGTAGTGTCTCAGGCAAACAACCAGCCATCATGGATTGTTGGGAGCCGCTGGCCGGCTTGGGTGGAGTGAAGATGATGAGTTGCATCTCTCCCCAAACATAGAAGGCAGTCAGCAGCCCAGCCAAGGCCAAGGTCAGTTGTCTCAGGATCTGTCCTGTGGCCACTGTGACCGTGCCGCAACGGCAACTAAGTTCTGAGGCCCAGGGTAGCAACCAGGGCCATGCCATGGCAGCACCCAGCAGTCTCACGCGACCTGCAAAGGTCAACAGTGGCAGGCCAAACTCATGTCCCCAGCTGCCAATGGCATAGAGGGCCGCTTCCATAGCCAGGGCAACCTCCACCACAGCCAGAGTGGCAAAGAGCATGGCTTCTGCACCCGTGGCGATGGCATGGATGCGTAACACCCATAGGTGCCCCAGAGCAATGGCCCAGTATCCCACTGTTGCCAGCCTGCTGGGCTGAGCAGCACCGGAGAGGAGCACAGGTCGCTCGCCCATGCTCCACGTCTTGGAGCAAAGAGCTCAGAAGCAACGGTGACGGAGGCAACAACTTGAGACTACCTGCTACCTGTATCTATACCTGTACTACTGCCAGTGAGCTGTTCAAAGCTGCGATGAACACAGAACTAAACGTGAATTGTGAAGGAAAAATGATTCATGCTCAGCATGGTGTAGCACTGCTGCTAGTGCCTTGGGTCGCGATATGTTTTTTGGTGTTCTGTGAGAACAACATCGCCAAACATCGCACAACCGGTGCAAACTTGTTTGTTGCATCATATCAAACTGAACAATACTGAACACCTCTTTGAAAACAGTTGCTGTGTTGAAAGCAAAGGTCTTGCCTTCTCCCATGCCAACTTCTTCTCAGCCAGCTGTGAAAGAAACAATCTCATCATACTTACCCTGTACGGTTTTCTGATGGGTTTTCTATGGTTTTCTGCTCATTTCTGCTCTCCCGGTAGTTCCTTTCAAACACTTCCCCCCTTTTCCCGATATCTCCCTATCCTTCACGAGCGTCGTTGCGGCTGTTGCCACTACAGGAGGCGGCGGCGGTGGCGTCTTTTGCGCTGGTTTCTGTGCCTGTTTTCGGCTGTCAAGGGATTTCAGGGCGCCTGGAGGTTGCGAAACATGTGAACAATGAGACCAATGTGTGACACATATGTGACACATATGTGACACATGTGTGACACATGTGAAAACAGGAAACTATATAAATTTATGCAGTACCTATTAGTACCTATCTAAACATTCTAAAACAAGGTATCTGAAGGTGCTAAATGGGAAGAACCAACTCCACTCGTAGATCCAATGGAGGTATGGAGATCTAGGCGAACTGGCCCAGTTCTGGCCGAAGATTCCGTGTGCCTAGGGCCTAGACATCGAATACATCATGCAGTGCATCTGTGTTTTGCATTTCATGCCCAACTGCACTATATATCCTATAGATTCCTATAGAATCTTCGTGGTTTCATGATCTCTGACCAGAATTGTTACATGATATCTGACAGAATTCTGACACAGTTTGAACCTGATAATATCCTAGTTCTCAATCTGTTGCTTCCATCGCCCACCATGAACCACCTGCCCGGGGCGGTTCTTCGTCTTGGGCGTGGGTTGCACCATAGGTTCCTGGTAGACCTCAGTGGGGGCACCATCTGCCGGGCACCTCAGGAAGGTTGGTTACATCCCGACATCCCCATTAAATTAATATAGATAAAAAAAACACCACAAAAAATAGGAAGGGAAAATCCGAGTCTCAAATAGGAAAAATGCTGGTCATCCTTCTGGTCACCACCAATGGGCCTTCATTAGAACTAAAGTTACCAAAGTGAGATGTGTCTTGAATATGTTGCTGGGTGTGGGAAGTACGTCTTGCATCACCTCCCACAAAATTCAGTCATGTTTTCTCTGTGGTTTACAACCCGGCAGCAAAAATACGGAGCTGTCGTTCCATGTCCTGCTGTTGTGGCTTGCGATGTGCATTCGCACACGATGTTCCAACCGAATCCATTGATGTGCCCTGAGAACGTTGATGATACCATGCAAACATTACCCCACACTCAATGAGCCAAATGATAAACAAAAAAACTCAAAGATTTGTGATCGGAAAATATAAATATAAACAAATAAATCTTAAAAAAATATAAATAAATAAATAACTAAATATAAATAAATAAATGTAAATAAAAAACTATAAATATAATTAAAAAAAATAATTAAATTAAATTAAATTAAAAAATATACATATATATCATGGATACAGTATATCTGCAAATCTGCAAATTAGGTTATAGCAGTAGTGCGGCACAAGGCGGTGGCGGAAGTTCAGAGATAGAAAACCTATAGGAGAGGTGAGTTGTTGCGATGCATGGATGGCAGAGCGAATCTACTGATGGACCGAAAGGTGGTTGGAATTGCTCTTTTTGGAATGGCTGCAATGGTCACCGGATGCACACCTGCTGCATATAGTGTAGTGTAGATTAGTGTAGTGTAGTGTAGGTGAATTTGAAGATGTGGTTTGGTGTAGTAGTAGTAGTAGTAGCAGTAGCAGTAGCAGTAGTAGTAGTAGGAGTAGGAGTAGTAGTAGCAGTAGTACTAGTAGTAGTAGTAGTAGTAGTAGTAGTAGTAGTAGTAGCAGTAGCAGTAGTAGTAGGAGTAGTAGTAGTAGTAGCAGTAGTAGTAGTAGCAGTAGTACTAGTAGCAGTAGTACTAGTAGCAGTAGTACTAGTAGCAGTAGTACTAGTAGCAGTAGTACTAGTAGCAGTAGCAGTAGCAGCAGCAGCAGCAGTAGCAGTAGTAGGAGTAGTAGTAGGACTAGTAGTACTAGTAGTAGTAGTAGTAGTAGTAGTAGTAGTAGCAGTAGCAGTAGCAGTAGCAGTAGCAGCAGCAGGAGGAGGAGGAGTAGTAGTAGTAGTAGCAGTAGCAGTAGCAGTAGCAGTAGTAGGAGTAGTAGTAGTAGTAGTAGCAGTAGTAGTAGTAGGAGTAGGAGTAGTAGTAGCAGTAGTACTAGTAGCAGTAGTACTAGTAGCAGTAGTACTAGTAGCAGTAGTACTAGTAGCAGCAGCAGGAGTAGTAGTAGTAGCAGCAGCAGCAGTAATTGTTGTTGTTGTTGTTGCTGTTGCTGTTGTTGTTGTTGTTGTTGTGGTTGTTGTTGTGGTTGTTGTTGCAGCTGCTATTGTAATGTTATTGCTAGTCTTGGTGTTAACTTTTTCAACATCTGAACGCCCAAAAGCGGTCCGATACCGTCAGTTTTTAACGCTTTTGACTCGCGAATGTGCTTCGCGCCACACAGGCGGGCGCTTTTTCAACATCTCAACTTCCAAAAGCGTTCCGAGAGTGATGTATTTTGTGCATTTTGACTTCGAGAGGTGCTTCGCGCTGCAACGACGTGCACTTTTTCAACAGCTCAACGTCCAGAAGTGGTGTGAAGCTGAGGTGCTTCTGACATTTGGCTTCAAACCGTGCTTCCTGCCATAGTCCCGAGCACTTTTCCCACATCTCCACTTCCAAAAGTGGCTCAAAGCTGCGGTCTTTTGAACATTTTCACTTCCAAATCTGCTTGTGGCATACGACCAAGTGGCTCTGCACCTGCCGCCTTAGCGAGCCTACTTTTCGACCGTCCTGGGCCACAAAACATTGGAAAAACAGTGTTTTGCGACTTTTCTACCTTTTCGCGCGCCTGCATGTTCTTTCTTCTGACTCTTTCTCTTCTCTGATCTTCTTTCTTCTTCCTTTCTCTTCTCTGACTCTTCCCACCTCTGCTTTTCTATCTGTCCATATTGTCGGAAGTTTGACTTCTAGTTAAAGTTCCTTCGGTGAGTATTCCCAACCCCCCAAAACCTGATGTTGTTTGAACGTTTTTTTTGTGACCAGCCACCCAAAAAAACACTAGCGACCAAGTGACTAGCTGCCGAGGCTTGGCTGTTCGCGCCTTGGCCTGCAAGAGTCGCAGTGCTTGACATGCTATGAGGTATCCTCTGGTAATTTAACATAGGTATTGAACATTTCCCGTTTATAGATGATTTACCTATACTAAATCTATTAAAACAGGTGATTTTCAATAGCTGCTATAGCTGTGTTAAATAACCAGAGAGTGGCTACATCCGCAAAGGAGTGCAGCGAATTAAGTGATAAAATCCCACGATTTTCTCATTCGAGGGAGACGTTTTGTATTTCAAATCCCTCGTGTTGCGGTCAAAGCACAGAAGAAGCACGCACACACACAAACATATATATGTATATATGTATACATATATATATACATATACATATATATACATATATATATATACATATACATATATATATACATATATATATACATATATATATACATATATATATATACATATATATATATACATATATGTATATATACACATGTTACATATATATATAATTATATATATATAATTATATATATATAATTATATATATATATCCGCCGACCCTGGCCTTCGCCAAGGCAGGGGCGGCGCCTGGGACCACCGGAGGTGTGGAACCTGCTTTGTCATAGCCCTCTGTTATTGAGGCATTCAAGCCTGCCGTTACCAGGCTTCAAACGCTTAAAACTCTTAAAACCCTCCAAATCCTTCGCGGCACCTGCCACCAAGCCCCTTCAAACGTTCAAAACCCTTACAACCCTCCAACTGCTGCACTGCTTCCTCGCGCCAGCTGCCACCAAGCCCTCTGGCCGTCAGCCTTTGCTGCTCCCGGTTGCAGCCTGCCCTTTGCCTGCACATCCCTCGCGGCAGCTTCCACCAAGCTCCTGGCCGTCAGCGTTCCAGCATTGAGCCTGCCCTTTGCCTGCACATAGCCCTCTCTTGTTACGGCATTCAAGCCTGCCGTTTGCCAGGCTTCAAACGCTTAAAACCCCTAAAACCCTCCAACTCCCTCGCGGCAGCTTCCACCAAGCCCTCTGGCCGTCAGCCTTTGCTGCTCCAGGGTTGCAGCCTGCCCTTTGCCTGCACATCCCTCGCGGCAGCTTCCACCAAGCTCCTGGCCGTCAGCGTTCCAGCATTGCAGCCTGCCCTTTGCCTGCACATAGCCCTCTCTTGTTAGGGCATTCGAGCCTGCCGTTTGCCAGGCTTCAAACCCCTAAAACCCCTAAAACCCTCCAATTCCTTCGCGGCAGCTTCCACCAAGCCCCTGGCCGTCAGCCTTTGCTGCTCCAGGGTTGCAGCCTGCCCTTTGCCTGCACATCCCTCGCGGCAGCTTCCACCAAGCTCCTGGCCGTCAGCGTTCCAGCATTGCAGCCTGCCCTTTGCCTGCACATAGCCCTCTCTTGTTAGGGCCTTCAAGCCTGCTGTTTGCCAGGCTTCAAACGCTTAAAACCCCTAAAACCCTCCAACTCCCTCGCGGCAGCTTCCACCAAGCCCTCTGGCCGTCAGCCTTTGCTGTTCCAGGGTTGCAGCCCGCCCTTTGCCTGCACATCCCTCGCGGCAGCTTCCACCAAGCTCCTGGCCGTCAGCGTTCCAGCATTGCAGCCTGCCCTTTGCCTGCACATAGCCCTCTCTTGTTAGGGCCTTCAAGCCTGCCGTTTGCCAGGCTTCAAACGCTTAAAACCCCCTAAAGCCCTCCAACTCCCTCGCGGCAGCTTCCACCAAGCCCTCTGGCCGTCAGCCTTTGCTGTTCCAGGGTTGCAGCCTGCCCTTTGCCTGCACATCCCTCGGCAGCTTCCACCAAGCTCCTGGCCGTCAGCGTTCCAGCATTGCAGCCTGCCCTTTGCCTGCACATAGCCCTCTCTTGTTAGGGCATTCAAGCCTGCCGTTTGCCAGGCTTCAAACGCTTAAAACCCCTAAAACCCTCCAACTCCCTCGCGGCAGCTTCCACCAAGCCCTCTGGCCGTCAGCCTTTGCTGTTCCAGGGTTGCAGCCTGCCCTTTGCCTGCACATCCCTTGCGGCAGCTTCCACCAAGCTCCTGGCCGTCAGCGTTCCAGCATTGCAGCTTGCCCTTTGCCTGCACATAGCCCTCTCTTGTTGGGGCATTCAAGCCTGCCGTTTGCCAGGCTTCAAACGCTTAAAACCCTCCAACTCCCTCGCGGCAGCTTCCACCAAGCCCTCTGGCCGTCAGCCTTCCACCCAGCTCCTGGCCGTCAGCGTTCCAGCATTGCAGCCTGCCCTTTGCCTGCACATCGCCCTCTCTTGTTAGGGCATTCAAGCCTGCCGTTTGCCAGGCTTCAAACGCTTAAAACCCTTAAAACCCCTAAAACCCTCCAACTCCCTCGCGGCAGCTTCCACCTCCAACTGCCGCACTGCTTCCTCGCGGCAGCTGCCACCAAGCCCTCTGGCTGTCAGCCTTTGCTGTTCCAGCATTGCAGCCTGCCTTTTGCGTGTACATAGCATTCTCCAAGCCTTCAAATCGTTAAAACCTTCAAAATCTCTCGCGGCAGCTTCCACCAGGCACTCTGGCCGCAGGCATTTGTTGTTGGAACGTTGAAGCCCGCCGTTTGCTTCCATCGCGTCTGTTGTTACCGCGTACATCCTTTCCGTTTGCCAGCTTTCAAACCTCGCAAATGCTTCGCTGCAGAGGTCTTGCCATTGCCATCTGTTCCTACGGCAAGCGCAGTCTTTCTATTTCATTTCCTTTTTTTCTTTGCCTTTTTGTCGGGAACGTGCCAATGTTTCATCTGGCATCGTTTTCCCGAGGGCGTGACATGCGTCACCGCAATGCGCCCACATGACTGCGAGGACCAAACAACAGTTGAGCACACCGGGCAGCTGTGCGCATGACACCGTGTGTTCTTGCTGACCGCACTGTCCTTCACATAAAATTGGTTCCCACAGACTGTTCGATGGTCGATTCTCCCTGTCCTGACGTCTTCTCACATTTCCCTTGCAAAATGGACACCTGTGCACTACGCCTTTCTCTGTAACAACCCCATCCTGAACAGAAAATTTGTTCCCACAGACTGTTCGATGGTCTATTTGCCCTGTCCTGACATCGCTTCTCACATTTCCCTTGCAAAATGGACACCTGTAAACGACGCCTTTCTCTTTAACAGCACCATCCTGAACAGAAAATTGGTTCCCACAGACTGTTCGATGGTTAATTTGCCCTGTCGCCCCGTTACTGGCTACATGCCCATTGCAAGCGGGACAAACGTAGTCATACTGTTTCGCACAGGGGCGTCCTTCCCTGACTCGGAAATAGTTACCGAATGTGCGGCGGTGATTGACTTGGCCTGTTCGTATAGTACTGTTTACAGGCTGCTTGCAATGCGGACACACGTATTGGAAAATCTTGCCTTTGGCTTCTGCTGCCTTCGTTGGCCGCACCGCCCTCTGCCGTCCGTTGCTGTCGTCCTGTTGGCCATGTACCTCTGCAGGCCCTTCTGTGGTCATTTCTGTTCCGTTCTCTTGTCTGCGCTGTTTTGCCTTCGGCTCTGCTTCCTTCGTTTGGGGGCTCTCCTGTTCTCTATTCCGTTTTGCACTCAAACGGGCAGCTGATTCCTACACCGGGGCGCCCTTGAAAGGGGGTCGGCGGCACCAGGGCGTTAGCCCATTCTATAATGACATACTAGTCATACATAGTCATACTATATGATAAACGCTCATGCTAAGATATAGCCTAAAAACAGTTGATGACGTGTCAACAATAATGAGCCACGAACACGAATTGCACTACCGCTTTGCCTTGGCCGTTGGAGGGTCCCAGGAGTCAAGCCTGGTGTCAGAAGGAAGCGACAACAGGATACCATTGAACTGGCAAATCTGGCAATCTTCTAACATCTCCCCTTTTCTCTTGGATCCTCTCACACACGACGCACCTCTCTTCGGTGCCTTTTTCCATCTTTGGTTTTTTTTTGACTGTTGGAACCATTGGCGCCTCTCCAGGAACGGCACTGCAGGCGGTTCATGATCTGGTTGGCAGTTCCACCCGGAGACATTGGATTGTCATGGCATAGACTCAAAATGACCACAAATGCCGGAAACTGCTACACAAAAAAGGAACATTGACCCGTGGGTCCAAAACTGGCGAAGTGCCTCTGAAGTGCACCAAACCATTCTAGATCCATTCTAGTCTAGAGAGGGTTCTCTCATTGCAAGCCTTGCCAACCCCATCACACCGGAAGGCCGCGTCAGCCTGGTCCACGGGCCGCTCGGCCCGGGTCTTGGCTGACGGTTTGACAACTTCAGGAGCAATGGGTTCAACCTTCACCTCAGTTGCCGGGGTAGGGGTTGCAGGTTGAAATTTCTTGCAAGGGCAACCAATCACTGAGAAATGTTGATGCGATATTTTGTTTGCAATATCAAGGTGCTGGGAAAGAGGAGCAAATCTCTTGCCAAGCTTTTTTGAGGCCATCTTGGTCAGGTGCCTCCAAGCAAAAGCCAGTCACAAGTGAGTGGTCCAGTCTCTGCACACATTCCTTGTACATTTCCTTCCCCGGCTGCGGGGTGCCGCCTCCCACAGCACTAATCCTTCATCATCGCTATCCTAGGCTCAGTAGGTCTTCCCTCTCCAACGGGTGGGGGGAGGGACATTCCATCCGTTTCTGGTTATTGTTGGCCTGTTCAATAATTCAGGCAAGCACATTGGCAAAAACAAAGGCTACGGCGCGGTTAGCGACCCGGCGTAATTCATTGATTTTTCATGATGCTTGGTTCACCAAATCATGGTATTTGCAATGTTTTGTAAAAACGTGATAAACATGACAAATCGTAGTTACTTTGGGGCCTACTACAAAAAGTGCGTTTCGTGTGAAACGTTCATCGATTTTCAATACCCCTGAAACGAATTATTGCTTTTTTTCGTTTTGTTGGAGAAAATTAGTTACATCTGACCACCAGTCATTGAGCAACACTTCTTTTTCAACTTACCTTGCAAGGTCTTCAGCGTCGACTCTTTTTGGCCAGCTTTCCCAGTTCCTTCCACATGAACGTTAACATCCCCACCCCACCCCAACCCAGTGACGTGACGTCAGTTGTGCATATGACGCAAGTTAACATGAACGTTAACATCCCCACCCCACCCCAAACCCAGTGACGTGACGTCAGTTGTGCATGTGACGCAAGTTAACATGAACGTTAACATCCCCACCCCACCCCAAATCAGTGACGTGACGTCAGTTGTGCATGTGACGCAAGTTAACATGAACGTTAACATCCCCACCCCACCCCAACCCAGTGACGTGACGTCAGTTGTGCATGTGACGCAAGTTAACATGAACGTTAACATCCCCACCCCACCCCAACCCAGTGACGTGACGTCAGTTGTGCATGTGACGCAAGTTAACATGAACGTTAACATCCCCACCCCACCCCAACCCAGTGACGTGACGTCAGTTGTGCATGTGACGCAAGTTAACATGAACGTTAACATCCCCACCCCACCCCAACCCAGTGACGTGACGTCAGTTGTGCATGTGACGCAAGTTAACATGAACGTTAACATCCCCACCCCACCCCAACCCAGTGACGTGACGTCAGTTGTGCATGTGACGCAAGTTAACATGAACGTTAACATCCCCACCCCACCCCAACCCAGTGACGTGACGTCAGTTCTTCATGCATCAATTTCAAGAGCAACTTGCCTCCAATCAGCAAAAATGGCAAAAACGCGGGGGTCGTTAATGGCGCCGTAGGCAAAAACAAACATGGAAAGCAGCACCCCCACCCTCAAGAGCCAGCTGGACTTGTCAACCACTAGCATTTTCATCTTTCTCCAAGGGCTTCAGGGGTTGTCAGTTGTCAGCACAGCAAACGAGAATGTCTCTTGGTGCATCTAAAGAGTCGATGTCATTTGCTTGCGGCACCCATGCCCACGCTTCATTGTGTTCGGATGACGGGGCCATCAAAACATCCCAGTTCACCTGCGAGATCGACTGATGCGGTGTGGTAAAGCTATATACTATAGCGGCTTATAATTCATTCTCTTTTTTTGGAGATCAGATCGGCAACCAGAGATAGTCAAAGACTTCAGTGCAAACTTGGCACTGCCAGTACCGCCTCTCCGTCAGCCAGTGGAACCCTAGGCATTTCATGGCTGCACCATGGGCCCCTTAAATGGGTTGACCACAATTGCCCCTCATCAACCACATAGCTACTGCCCACTACCAATTGTGCCAAGTGAGGAGTGACCAATGCTTGATTGCGTCCATTCCTGCCATGTCATGCACCACGGGCCAAATCGGATGGCTAATCTGCTGCAGAGCTGCCATTGGTATTCCGTACCCTCCTGCATGGTGACATACAGTACAGACTTCGGTGCTTCTGCGGCCATTGGCAGGCTGCACATTAAACATAAAATGGACAAACAGGGACGAAATTACCCACACATGCACATTTGTGAATTTGTAGATTCCATGAGCATGGACATGCAGCCATGAAAAGCAACCGTTTCTGTGCACTCTTTCGCAGGGGATTGGCAAGAAATTGGATGTAGTGATGGCATCAGTCGCCACACGTATCTCAGTCCTGACAAAGCTCTTCCTTGATCTCTTGCTTTACTGCTGCCGCCTGTCCGAGGGGCAAGGGATTGAAGGTTGGGATCAGAAAAGCCACGCTAATATGCACATGTTTGATCATGTTTGTATGCATCACATGTGTCTTCACAACTGTTTAAGCATTCGGGAAGGCAAACAGATGTGTCTTTGCAAGCTACCAGTAGTTTTTTCAGCACGAGAGGCAAACTTTCACTTTAAAACAAACCTGATTTTCCACGTGCCGATGATCAAAATTCAAGTTCTGCAGGAGCAGGCTGGCGATCCAACGGACTAACCTTTGCTCCATCTTGACACTCAAAATCAAATAGGCTGGTCAAATTTCCAGACCCATGGACCATGGAGTTCCTCAAAAAACGGGAACGTATTTAAACTTTGTGATCTTTGGATTTAAGCTTGAACCATTTTCAGTTGTTTTTGATGTGTTATTTGTATACTTCCGCGAGCGATTCGTGAGGCATTTGTTCCAAAGGCCTCAGGTCATCCGAACAAAACACCGAAAGGTTCAGTTCAACTCTGCCAGCACCTGTGCCAGGATTTCCTGCCGATCGCGGAATTCCTGAATCAATTCACTGGCCTTGGTCGTGAAAACCGCAGCAGAATCTGCAGCCAAAACAGATCCAAACATCTCCTAGCGCAGCCAGCTCTTAGATGCTCTGAGCCCCACGTTCTTTCAATGTCCAAAGAACCCCACATAAAAACATATAAAAACAACATTATCTTGCCCCCCTCTCCCTCTCGTAATGTCTCTCCCGCACTTCCAGGCCACCCTCTGTTTGAATCCAAGCTTTGCCGAGGCCCAGGCGGAGGCAACTACACCAGCCCCTGGGTCGACTGGGTCGACTGGGTCGACTGGGTCGACTGGGTCGAGCTGCTGCCCACCATAGGGATCCAAGACCTTGGCACAGGAGAACTCCACCATCCTCAAAAGGAGGTAATACTGCAATGAAGGCCGTGCAAATGCGTGCAGAATTATATCATGTGGGTTGTAATGTAGATAGATGATGATAGATATGGTGCAAAACATGGAACGTCGATAAAGCAGCGAAATCGGCGAAGACAACGGGAAGCGCTTGGTTCATTTGAGTAATTCGCACCATGGTTCTCAACCATCCACACTTCGAATTCAAGTCGAAACATGTCATGAAGGAGATCTATGGAGATCTTGCATGTCCGACATGTCCTTACCATAGACACCCTTACACCTGTTTGCCCTTCCAGGCTGCAGCTGAGGATAGTACTGCTGGAGCCTCCCCCGCCTCCCAAGTGGCCAGCCGTTCAACCATAAGGTCTCAGCATGTCTCAGCCATCCCATTTCAACACTAGATATGATAGACCGTGACTTTGCGGAACCTGCAGCAGAGATATGCAAACAAATCACGACACCTTAATCTTACATGATATTGCATGAATTATGTTGCATGATATTGCATCTCTTACCGTCAAGTAGCCCTGTCCAATCACCAAGACCTGACGCCTGTCCGCATAATCACCACTTGTTGCACCTGGTCCAGTTCGGCATCCGATGGAAATGCAAAGCCTGAGGACATGGCACCCTGGTTGACGTAACAACATCAAACAATCGATGTGTGGCTGACTGCGGCTAGTAGATCTCGGGCTTTTCTGTGACACGTATCATAGAGCGGCTTGAATCTTGTTTTGATCCATATTGATCCATGTTGTGGAATGCAAGCTGGGCATGAACCCAACAATTCCCAGAGCTACTCTCTTCTCCCTTCATGCCTGCTAGAAGTTCAAGGTCAAATCCATAATCCATCATAATCCTAATAACCCACCACAAAACAGGAAATCTGTGACATCGGACCCCACGTTTTGAGTGGTTCTTTCACTCTGCTCACTCTGCAACTTGGTAGCTCATTGCGCAGTGAAAGATCCCATGGCGCCATCACAGCGTAGCGCCCCTCGGACGGCACTGTGGAGGCAAGTGGCTCTTGATTCGCACCCTCCGCGATAACGCATGATATTGTGTGTACAGCTGCTGATGGATTATTTACTACGTATTTTACTGTGAACAAATTGATCCTTGTTCTGGATATCCTTCGGTTGTAGTTCCCTATGTGCTGATAGTCAGAGCTGTCAAACCATGCAGCAGCGGAGCGCGTTATTTTGGCCTCGCAGTGGGTCTTGAGCCATAGTGGCGTCCCATGCAAGAATGTGCACATGCTCAGCATGTGTGACTACTGTGTTATCTCGTTCCCCTTCGCACCCCCCATGCCTATGGCATCTTCGAACCATAGGCACGAGAGTGGGAACTTTGAATTAGATTCTTCTGCTACTCGAATTACGCCTATGTACATAAAACATGCCATTTGGCTCCCCCTTCCCCACATACCCGTCGGGAATAATGGTTCAGGGTTCGCCTACTCTTTGGCTGTCGATGCATCGGCGCTTCCTCAAGCTGTACAACGCGAATTATTGCTAGCTAACATCTACTTTTCTACGTTGGCTAAACATGCCACTCACCCGTCGGGAGAAATGGATCGCCTCGCTACCAAAGATTTACAATGCTAACTAACGAATTCACGTGCACAATGCAGAATCTCGTGCAGATTGGGAATATCAAAAGTCTTGAACCTAAGCGAATTAGTCTAATGCCTCGCTCAGTGTCCACTCAGTTGGTCTTTTCCTGATCATCTGTTCATAAAGACGGTAAACATCTTGTAGCCCAGTGATCGTTTTGACGGATCGAAGCAATTGGTTTACTGCTCACGGCGGACTTTCTTCCATTGAGGTGCTGTTGGAGTTCTCTCCCATCCTGCCGCACGTTTCGGAGCAGCTTTCGGCGATGAAGGCTTTGCAGGCGGTGCCTTTGATGGTTCATGGGATTTCGGCATAGCCTTGCCCTTTGGTGCGCTAGCCGATGAGGATGATGCTGAACCAGTGCCTTCAGGTGTCTGTGAAGGTTGTGCGGGTGGTTTAGCAAACTTGGAAGCTGCAGTATGTCCAACCGCTTTGAATACTTCACTCACCACTTCGTCGCCAAGGGTTGGAGCCATCTTCGTTTTCATCTCGGTCTTTCCCCTCTGCGCCTCGGCCTCGGCCAGCTGAATAGCATAAGCCATCTTGCTGACAAAGTTTTGAGGTAAAGGAATGCCACATTGTTGGGCGGCAAAGAGCAGTTCTACTCTCTGTTCTTTCTCCCTCAGGCTCAGATATACCGAGAAAGCTGGGAGTTCGATGCAGTTGGGGAAGCCGTGGCTCCCGGAGCGAAAGAAGGTGTATGACTCGTGCTCCGGAAAGGTTCCTTTGAGCAGTCGTCGAAGGAAATTGCTGATGGTTACTCGCATCTCCTGTTTCCCTTGGGCATCAGCCTGCATTCGGTTCATTGGCATGAGAAAGCCTAATGACTCAGGAGTGTACCCGGCGCGTACCAGAAATTCCATCATCTTCTCATAGATCTCTAAAGTCTTGATGACAGGCATCATCATGTTTCTTGGTCGCCCTGAGTATAACTTCTCTCCTTCTGACCATGAATTCCTCTTCCCTTTCTCCTGAAAGAGTTCATCCAACTCCAGCTCCGTCGGGCGCTTGAGGTTGCCATCCTGGTCTTCTCCTGTATAAGGACAGAAGTCGTCCAGGTCCAGCCGGACTCGCTTGGTTTCCGTCATCATCTCATAGTACTCCTCTGGGGTCAGAGTGACTCTCTGTTTGTAGTAGAGCCTGAACATTGTGATGATCTTTGACATGACGGCATTGTCATACAAGTGAGCCGCGGCCTCGGAGACATCATTGTTGATAAGTCCGTCTTCTGGCATACCCTTGCTGCCGCTCTCGAGGTTCTTGGTCCATGCTGGAAGTTTGGAAGAGGGTTCATCTTCAGGTTCGACTTCCATTTCATCGTCGTCTTCTTCAACGATTTCGTCGTCTTCCTGTTGGGCTTCCTCCTCCTGATCCATTTCCTCATCATCGCCTTCGTTGTAGTCGACCTCGTCAGGATTGAAGCCATAGTCGTTGGATTCGGATACGTTTTCTTGTGCTTGATGGACCGTATCCTTGAACAACGATTCTTCTTGTCGACGAACTTCTTCATCGATCTCTTTCTTCGTGGCCTCATCTTCATCGTCTTCAGGAGCTTGTAGCCGATAGGGACGGATTCCACAACTTTCAAGTTCCGTCCAGCAAACTAGACACACTGCTAGTTTTGTCGGCGTCTCATTGAGACAGTGAGGACAATGGCGGCAACCTGATGTTTGCACCCTTTTGCGTTCGACTATGTAGTCAATCAGCTTGATGCGGGCCAGGTATTGCTCTTGTCCGCCAGGCTCGATGAGGTTGTTCTTGAATTGGTTGACGATGTTCATGGCATCCATGGCGGTTTCGTCAAACGGTTGATCTTCGGCGTCGATGCACTGACTTGCAACCCTCAAGATGGACTCCTTGGTGGCTACCGTTCTTGATTTGATAGTTCCAGACCGGACTACCTGGTCGTCGCCCGACGGGACGAACAACCGGAGCCATGTCTTATTGTTTTGGTCCTTTGGGTCCTGAATCCATCCTCCTTTGATTGCCGAGAACGGGATGATCTTTGGTGAGACGATCTGTCCCGAGTCAGTCAGTCGACCGCCATATTCCACCATCAAGGTCTCGGTCGGGACGAACAAGCAAATGTAGTCCCCTCTTCGCGTATCAACGCTCTTCGTGATGGTCCATGATCTGTGATCCCATGGCACATACGGGTTGAAGAACGTGAACATCCGATGACCTTCTCCAAGACCTCCTGGAATTAATCCCTGCCTCCAAATGCTTCGAAGGTTGGTCTTCTTGGTGATGTGGAAACAAACCGGTAACGACAAAATGGTGTTGGGCGCGATTGGATGTGAAAGTAATGAGGACAGCAATGAGACGTCGTCCCTTGAAGATCCTTCTTTGTGCCCCGTAGGAGCACGGACCGCCACAGGGTAGAGCAGTAGACCTTCATCAGGAATGTTCGTGTCCGCATCGACTTTGTTGTCAATGCACGTCAGGCTGGTGCGCTCAATGTCCTTGTTGATACCAAATGCCAAGACTTGTTCACGAACGCGACGTCCATACCGGGCACAGTGGAACATGATCTTGAAGAGCAATGTCATGCTGTAGTTTGCCTCATCGACATTCCATGCATTCTGATCATTTGCTCTTAGGAATACATGTGGCCAGCGTGTGTACTCGTGCCTCCAGATGGACTCACATTTGAGCACCTCCTCGATGGGCACCCAGCCGGCGTCATCACATGACAGACTCTGTTGTTCTGATACCTTCCCCACGTTGTGCCGCAGGATCCTGTTTAGTGATGAACTCACCTTGTCCTCGTAGGTATTGAGCCGGTTGCCAGTCTCGAAGCGGTAGTTGGCCGCATATTCTACACCTCCAAAGTAAGAGCAGTTGAAGAAATGGGCCCCCGTAGTCGGGATGATTTTCAAGAAACCATCTTGCGGCGCCTCGACTCTCTTGTAGAAGGGCTTCCTGATGTTGTTATCAGAGTAGCTTGCCATGAAGTCTGGCACTGACCAAGAGTCACCTCCTCCTCTGACAATAGCGTCTCTGACCACTTCGTTGAGGTCAACAATGTTCTGTGGTCCTAGCTTTGTAACATCACGTCCTTCTATGCAGAATCTACCATACTCATCGAGGTCACCAACTTCAGACATAGTTCTGATGCTGTCGTACCATTGGTGTTCACTAAACCTCGATTTTGTAGGTTCATCCGTTTGCCCCGACCCATCAGTAGCACCTGAACCGTCCTTCTTGTGCTCAGGAGGCTCCATATCGACGTCATCAGATGTTGGACTATCAGCCTCGAGCGACGCTCGGACGGCCTTTAGCACCTTTCTGACTTCATCCCTCTTCTCATGTTCACATTCAAGATGGCCATGTTGGGTGCTACCACAATACAAGCACACGTTGACATCCTCAGAGACGGTAAAGAGTTTTCCCAACGCATCCAAAAGTTGTTGTTTCCCGGAATTCTCTGAGTCCCTGACCACATCGGTGGGGTCGTTCGCTGGCTCATCAGCTTCCTCCTCCCCAGGGTGAGCCGACGACTCGTCACCTGGCTTGGCATCGGCATCAGTGCCCATGCTGGCGTCACCCCCTGTGATGTTGTTCTTCCTGCGATAATGAGAGAATACCTGATCCTTCTCCCAGTCCGTGAGGCAGCAGAAATTGGCCAGCGAGTCATATCCGGGGATTGCGTGGATGAGCTTCATGACCCTTTCGGCTTCTGCAGTTTGCAGTGTGCAGTCGAAGGATCCCCGTCTCTTGTCATTGATGGTGCTCGAGGTTCGGGAGGTCGATGTGAATTGAGCCAGTGCCTTTTCCAGTCCATTGAGATACTCAGCTGGATCAACGCTAGCATTGAAAACATCCACGACTCCCTTGGCCATATTGGCCACGTCCAAGACACCAAGCCAGAACTCGATGATATCTCCAGTTTTCTCGGCAGATGCACGGGAGAATCCAAAAATCTCGTTCCTCTCCTTCACCTCGGGAACGGCAACCTTTTCGAAGAAGTCTTTGTATGCGACATTTCCGCAATCCTTTGTGACTCTATAGATCAAGAGCCACTTCTTTGCAACATCATCGAAAACTCTTTCGCGATATATGCTGAATTGCTTGCCGCGTCCGTTCCGGAAAATTTCCAGAGCTTGCCTCTTCGAAATTCTGACTCCTCCCATGTGAGATAGAGATTTCATCAAGTGCTCCCCATACGCCAACGATGCATTTGAAATCAACGAAGACGCAGTAAATGTGAGCCATGTTTGGAATCCTTGATTGATGTCAACAATGTCAACACCAAGATCCTCGAATGCAACCTTCAACCTAGCTGCAAGGAGTAGTACGGACTTCCTGGCCTCCAATGTGGGAGATGAACGCTTGTAATGGTCCTGGGTGTTGGCGGAGCAATTAATGCAATGGGTTGGTCTCGACTGGCACGTCTCGATCTCATCCATTGTCACTGCGCCT